CAGTGCTTCTGTCTCTTCGCCCTGCCTTCTTGGCCATCAAGTCTCAGGCAGAGCGATCACCTCTTTCCTTTCGGGTTGATCGTCTCTATGAATATAATTGCCCCTTACACTGGTGAAACTCAAACTTGTTTTTCATTGGTCTGGCAGTACATCAGTTGGACCTGATGATGTTCACTATGATATGCTGCACCACATCTCTCTTGCTTTTTTTTTGTTGTTTTTAACTGGATCTGGCAGGAGAACATTTTTCCTGATGCTTGGTGCCAGACTATTGTCCTCCCTTTTTCTAAGCCTGGGAAGGATTTCTTCTAATTGTTGTCCAATTACTTTGACTAGCTGTCTCTGTAAGTCTTAGAGAGGGTGGTTAATGCTCATCTTGTTTGGTTCCTTGAATCAAACCACCTCCTCTCGCCCACCCACTGTGGGTTCCGTCAATGGTGCTCCACTGTGGACTATCTGAATTGACTTGAAACCTCAATCAGCGAAGCCTTTCTCAAAAGGGAACATCGTGTTTCTGTTTTCTTCGATCTAGAGAAGGTTTACAACACTACATGGAGGTACGGCATTTTGAGGGACATCCACTCATATGGGTTGCGTGGCCATCTATCCATTTTTATTCATAACTTTTACTTGACAGGTGATTCTGAGTCTGTGTGTGCTCAACACTTTCCCATTCTTGGAATCCCTCGGGGCTGTGTCTTGAATGTCAAACTTTTCAGTATCAAAATCAATGCTATCACTACAGAACTTCCTCCTACTGTTGCTAATGGACTCTATGTCGACAACTTCCACATCTCATGTAGGTCGTCGAACATGAGGTATATTAAGTGGCAGCTTCACAGTGCCCACAATCGCTTGCTGAAGTGGACCACAGCAAATGGTTTTATCTTTTCTTTTTCCAAAACCACTTGCATGCATTTTTGCCACAACAGGGTCTATACCTTGATCCTGAGCTCCGTTTCGGTGATGTTGTTCTTCCCATGGTCCCTGAAACAAAGTTCTTGGGCTTATCTTTGACCGTAAGCTTACTTTTATTCCTCACATAATGCAGCTATGTGGCAAGTGTACAAGGGCACTGAACATCTTCCATCTCTTGGAGAGTGGATCGATGTTCTATTCTGAAGATCTATTATGCCCTTATTCGATCTGAACTAGACTATGGGTCTATGGTTCTGCCAGGACTTCAGCTTTGAATATGCTGGACCCCATTCACCATCTGGGGCTTTGGATTTGCATGGGGCTTTCCCACGAACCTCTTCTTCACCTCCACCATTTGCAACTTTCTCTACAGTATGCTTCCAAGCCTCGATCCTTATTACAGCATCCCACCTGGGATTGTGTCTTTCTTCCTCGGTGGGCTGTGCTCTTTCAGAACAGATGGTCTGCAATTCCTACCTTTGGCCTTCGTATCCAGGCACAACTGGCTGAATTGGGTCTGGCATTGGATGATGCTGTTGTCCCCAATGATCAGCCCATTCCCTCATGGCTTATTACCATCCCAGAATGTGACCTTTCCTTGAGTCATCTGGGGAAGGCAGATACTTCCAATTGGAAGTATCATCTTCTCTTTACTGAAAATCTTTCAAACCATTCTTCTATTCCCGGTTATACTGATGGTTAGAAATCAGGTGACTCTATAGGATCTGCCATGGTATGTTGTGGCTCAGTGGTTGCTCACAGGATCCTCTCTACAGTTTCTGTGTTCATTGCCGAGTTGTATGTCATTTCTCTTGCCTTGAATCGTATAGAAGCTATGCAGTACAGTGATTGTACTCTTTACACTGAGTCTCTTAGCTCTCTACTGGGCTTGGAATTGCTTAACATTAGTTCTCACCCTGTTCTCATCGGTATTCATGGGAATGAGTTCGCTGACACGGTGGCTAAGTCCATTTGCTCTGGTGCCATGTGGTGGCTCTTCCATATATGAACTATGGTTCTGTATTCAAGGCACGGCTTCACACCAGTTGGCAGTTGACTTGGGGTGAGCAAAGTCATAACAAGCTTGTCCAGATCAAACCTTCTGTTGCTCTTTGGCTGTTTTGTTTCCATAAGGATCGGAAGGAGTATGTTGTCGTGGCTAGGCTACCCATTGGTCAGAGTTTAACTCATCATTTTCTTTTATCTGGTACAGACTCACCAATGTGTAACCTTTGTAACACTCAAGTCACAATAGCCCACATTTCACTGTTATGCCTTCGTTATGACCGTGATCAGTGGCACCATTGTTTACATATACTTTCTACAGGATTTTACTCCTGACATAGGGCGGGACATTGGCAATGGTGACACTGTCCAACCTGATTGTATTTCAAAATTTTTATGAGCCACTGGCCTTTTTAATTCTATTTAAAAAATGCCAAACAACCAAACAATCGTCAACTTATATGACTTGCGTATTCTGACGTGTCCATTGAAGGTTGTTGTTTACATAATGTGTCTTTGCACCAACTTTGTCATCTAACTTTGTTTTTGGCTGCTCGTAACCACTGTCTTATGGAGGAGATTGTTCAGGCTGGTATGTGGACAACTCCCAATACATTTATTGCACATTATCTGCACAACCTTGAGTGGGGTCTTTCTGTAAGACCACTGGCCGCTTATCCAGTGATGTGTATGTATCTGTATATATATTTTTTATCACTGTATTTTATATAAAGAACTGTCACTCATGGACTTCATGATGGGGATTTTTGCCCATCCCTACTGACTAGTGATTTTTACAATCAGTCTTTCTGCTTTTCAAAATAGGGAATTTGAGACACCCATTGCAATGTCTCCAGTATATCATTCCTCTGGACTCCCAAATGCATATCCCCCCCTTTCTTCTGATGGAGCACGGGAGCCCTTGCCACTTCCAGTTCTCAGTTGCTGGAGTGGTGGACCATAGAGGTTTCCTCCTGAGTGGGGTTTGTATAATTGACTAAATCAATCTTCATTCATATGTACCCACTCAGTGAGAAGAGGGCTATCATCATTATACTTATTGATTATGCAATAACATAATATTCTGGACCCAAGGCTCTTTCCTCCGGATGTTTTTGCCCAGGCTGACAGCACTTGTTTATCACAAGATATATTTCTTATGCAAGGCACTTTCATAGAGTGTTTTCTGCCTGTATGGGCCACATTTGACAAACTCAGTATTATCCCAAGGCACTGCCCCTGGATGTCTTGACCTAATCCTGTGTATCCAAGTGGTCCCACCCTGGGTTTTGCCCACGTGGACTGCACTTGTTGATCTTTAGATATACCTACTGCTCCATACAGGTAAAGCCCTTTAGGTACCACAAGCTGCTTGCCAGTTCCGAAGAACTAAAAGACAAAATACTATTACAATCAACAGTTTGAAGACACATTTTAAAGTAATATTACAAAAGAACAAGCACATAAATGCAATGTTTTAATTTCAAAGCATTATCATTCTTTAAAAAACTAATTCACTATTTAATGTAATAAAATTTTAATTAAATATGAAAATCAAAAATATAAAAATTCCAAAACTTGCTTGCAATTCTATAAAACATTTTAAATTTTATTTCAAAATGTTTGAGCCATTTCTAAAAATGTTATAACTTGAGTCAGTAGACAAAGAAATGCTCTTTGTTTTCTGCCCAGATGGACCTCACTTGGCATAATCCAATGTATCCCAAGGTCAATCTAAGTTTCAAATGGACAGCAACTGCCTGTTGTAGAAACCTACAAATGTAGAGGACGACATTTTGAAAGTCTTCTGCCTTTCGTCTTCAGGTGCTTCCCCTGGATGTTTTTGCCTATGCAAACTACACTTGGCCATAATATTATATATCCAAAGTGGATGTTTTTTGCCTAGGAAGACTGCACTTGTTGATCTTCAAAACTTATGCAAGGTGCTTCCACTGGATGTTTTTGCCCAGATAGACCACACTTGGCATGATCTGATGCATCCCAAGGTGCTTCCCCTGGATGTTTTTTGCCTAGGCAGACTGTACTTGGCCTATTCATATACAATTTACGGTCCTTTAGCCCTAGCCACATATACTTATATCCAATTATCAGGCACACCTGTTCTTTCAAGACGGTTGCTCTTCCCTTGATTGAATACTGTTGTGCCTTCACTGGCCCCTCCACCTTTTTAATGTGGGACTCTAGCTTTGGGTGAGAGGAGGTAGTGCCGTTTTGGAAGTTAACATCTTCTTACACTGTAAAATTTACTCTGATAAAGGGCTCAGTCTGTTAATTTTAAAAAATCACACTTTACTGCCAAAAGAACTCACCTCTTGCTAGTATTCAGCCACAAAAATGCAGTTTAAGAGGTTGGTCAGACTGTGTTCCTCTTTCAAAAAAGTAGTAGAAGTATTCATGTTCAGGCAGGTACTGCAATTAGCCACCTCATGGTGGCAAGCAAGCTTCGTTAAACTTCCTCAGCCAGTTCTATCAACAGAACTTGCAAGAATTGCAGGGAAAACAGTCAGTGAGTTGAACAACCAGATCTTTTATTATTCAACATTTGTAGTCACTACTATGTTTTTGTGTGGGATTTTGTATGGGAATATAAATGTTAATCCCTCATATCCTGGAACCTAGTGCAAATCCAGCCACATTGATAATAAATCCAGAGTCCTGAAATTGCAAGGAGCTCAAATCTCTATTCAGAATTTAAAAAGGGAGAGAGTACTAGAAAGCTTTATTTGGGAATCAACCCACCAAACATGTCTCCCTGAATTGCAGACTAGATGTTAATTTGTATACCTTTCAAAGTACAATATCAAAAATTCAATTAAGAAGTTAATACTTTATGTTGGAAAATGCATTGGATTTGATTGTTGTTTAATAAGTAAATAAAAATAACCTGTACCTTACTCATATATATGAAACAAACTTAGAAGTTAGAAATTGGTTAATTTATTAATACAGTGATTAATTATTACATAAAAATAAACATTTTTGTGTGAACTGGTAATATGTTACCATATTGTTAAAAAGAATTTGAAACTGTGTTAAAATGAAATGAAATATTTCAGGCAGCAGCAGCAAAGGTTCAAGAAGTTAGAGAAATCACTCGAATAGAACGAATTGGTGCTCATTCACACATTCGTGGTCTGGGACTTGATGATGCCTTGGAACCACGGCAAGTAAGTAATGAGGACATGATTTTTTACTTTTGTGTTTATATCAACATTATTACAAGAAGGTGTTTATTTTCTAGAAATGTGAAATTAAAGTTGGGTTCCGTTTTATATCAAACATCCACATCTGTTCATTTTTAGAGAGGTTTGCTTAATATAATTTCCACAACCATAGGTTCTAATGTCTTTATTAAAATGTAGGTATCACAAGGAATGGTTGGTCAGCAGACTGCAAGGAGAGCTGCTGGAGTCATCTTAGAAATGATCAAAGAAGGCAAGATTGCTGGAAGAGCTGTACTGATTGCTGGACAACCAGGAACAGGAAAAACAGCTATAGCAATGGGTAAATGTTATGGATAGAACAATTAGTAGATTTTATGTATTTCAGGCATGTTATCACTTCATTATTTTATGGTATTAAACTTTGGGGTTTTTTTTGTTGTTGTTGAAAATTTGATAAGGATGTACAATGCTGCATGAGTGAGAAGCCATTGCAGGCCCTTTAAGTAAATGAGATGTATGGTGGTGTGAGACAATATTTTACACCCCCATTAAGACTGATGTTTGGATTGTGCTTGCCATTGCTGTTGCTGCCACTACTGTGGCATCCAGTGGCATCACATAATGACTGTGTGTATTACGACTACCACAGATCTCATTCTTTAATATTTAGGAAAATATTACTATATTTAAAAGCTAGTAGAAAGCAATATTTAGTTAGATGATGCAATACCTATTACATGTAATCCATGTTCAAGTAGTATCATACCTGCAAAATAGTGTGAGATAATACATTGATGGACATTCTATGTGATTATCTGACCCATTGCAAAACTTAATGTGTTATTGGAAATATATATTCATCATACAATTAATGATATAACACCATGGTGTGGAAGTTTTTGAAAAAGAAAAAAAAACATCTTGTCCAAGAAACAAATGCCAAAAAAACTAGTTGTCCTTAAAATTCTACCTCCCATTTCCCTGTTCCACAAAACACACAAAAAAATGTAGAATACAACTTTCGAGATTTTGCTTTTACTGAACAATGAACACAATCAATATAGTGCCACCATTGGCAACAAATTTATTTTGGAAATGGTGTATACCACGTTTTGCATCCAAGCTCTTTATATGTATTCATTCCTGTTTTATGGATATGAAACATTTAGTCATTAAAATTTTACAGTACAGCATGCAGAATAACACACAAATTAAACTACTAAAATGGTGTTTAACTCTTTTGATATTTGGTAGGTAAAAATGTACATGTCATGACTTTTTACAGAGTTGCATTCAAAACTAAACTATGATGTCCTGAGTTTAATATAAATTACTCCTTATAATATAGGTGTTACTAAGGCATTGTCTAATATTTATAACCTTCAAACTTCTGTGTTTAAGGGCCATTTAAACCAGGAAGTCAAACCCACTTACCATGCTGTATTTATAACATATTTATAACCTTCAAACTTCTGTGTTTAAGGGCCATTTAAACCAGGAAGTCAAACCCACTTACCATGCCTTTCTATCACATCCTCTTTTTTTTCACAAATTGTTAATAATTTTCTATGATGTTTGCTATTACATCATTTATAACTGACAGAAAGACATAGTTTTAATTTATCAAATTATGTGTAATGCTACCTTGTTCTCAGCAGAGATTTTTAGTTATTTCATGTACATATTTAGAAGTTGCTGTTGCCTGATTTAGATTGACTAGGTAAAGGAATTATTTTAAGGCACTTATGCCATAGTTAGAAAGCCGGTTAAGTTATAATAGTTATAGAATATTGTTTACTTTGGGCTTGTTATTATTTCATTTTCGTAAATACATATTTCAAATAAATAATTCTTTTAGTTACTACTAATATTACAAGGAACTAGGTTTAATTTTTGTCCGTGTCAACAGCAAAAAAGAAGGGGCCTAATGTAAGTACTAAATTTCTTGTTTTTTATTCATTGCTATAAAAGTAACTAAAATCTAAGAATTAGAAACTTGTTGGGTTAGGTTAGGCTAGATAATGAAAAAATAATAATAATAAATTTCTACACGAGGTATGCTTGGGAGTTGTTCATGCATTACATCATTCAGTACTGTAAACTTGAGCTATGTGTTCAGTATATGTTTTACAGTTTGTATTGCAGGATTATTAATTAGACACAGTTCAAAGAGCAATAAAAACAGATGTAAAGTTTTACGACCCTTAAGCTGTTTAGAATAAATAATTGTAATTTTCTGTTACTATCTGCAGCCATTCCAGAAAGAAAAAAAAGTAATTTTATTTATTTTGTATTTTTTTGTGGTGGTACAAAGTCAGTCAAATTGACTGATACTATATAGAGTCCATGTATTGATAACTGATTAGTTGTTAGGGCCATCAGTCGATTACATTCAACTAATTAATTATTCTCACACAAGACTTGGATAGTTGAAATAAACGAAAATAGTAATAAAACATTTGTATGAGAGTATAGGCCTTACTCCGTCATATCTTGGAAACTAGTGCAAATTCAGCCATGCTGGTGGGAAATTCAGTTTCCTGAAATTTCAAGGAGCTTAATCTATATTCAGAATTTAAAAAGATAATACCGGAAAACTTTGTTAAGGGATCATTCCACCAAACATGTCTCCTTGACTTGCAGACTAGATGTTAATTTGTATACCTTTCAATTACAATATCAAAAAACTGAATTAAGAAATTAATACTTTACATCTGTTAGAGAAATAACAGATGAAGTATAAAGTTTTACAAAGTAAAAACTTAATATTCTTTTAGGAAGTCTTAGAGGTTATGCAAATAAAAGTTGAAAACTGTGAGAAGAAAAAAAAAATATTATTAATCTTGACATTAAAATCACCTTGCATTGAGACTAGTCAGAGTCTGAGTCACACTAGCAAATTTTCAGTAAAAATACTGAATTAAAAAAATCTGATTTTTTGTGTACAAAAGACTTGTAATGTATACTAAATGCTTGCCAAATTTCATGACGATGTACTTACTACACTAAAAAGTTATAGTGTGTATACTTTCATGATTGCAAGGTCGTTCAAAAGGACTGAATCAATATAGAGAGAGTTAGTACATGTATGTATAAAATGATTCAAAGCTTTCTGTAATTTTTATTATGTTGTAGTTTCTTCCTAAAGCTAGCAAACTAACTTTCTTAGATTCCTATTTATACAAAAGCAATGGAATAATAATGTTGCATTAATTAAAAAACTTTTTGTTATTCTGTGGGTTTGTGAATTAAAGGTATATGTATTTTTGTTTATGTAGTTTAGATTTAATGTTTAGGGGTATGCATTTTTAATTATATATATATATGTTTGTTTGTGCTAGATTTCTGTAGATGAAATTTTCAAGAACTTGCATGTCTCCTTAGAAATCTATCTGCAGTAGTTTTCTATCAATAGAACAAGCAATGTGAGAAAAAACTATTCGTAAAACTGGTAAAATATAATGGTAAAACTTGTCCTAGTTTTTAGCTATATGAATTTCACACATCTATAACATTAACAGCCTAATCAGCAAATATATTTTTATCCCTTCTCTACTAGAGAAAATTTCACTAGATTCTCTTTATTGTTTTTTCATAACTTAAGAAACTGTATGTGAAAAAAAAGCACCCCTTTGTTTATTTATTTCATAGGAATGGCTCAAGCCTTAGGTCCAGACACCCCATTTACAGTCATTTCTGGGAGTGAAATATTTTCATTAGAAATGTCAAAGACAGAAGCTTTGATGCAATCTTTCCGGAAGTCAATTGGTGTTAGAATCAAGTAAGTTATATTTCTCGCTAGTTTTAAGTAATGAATATTTAACTAACTTAATGTATATCATTAAATACCTATTACTTTGGATTAAACATTAGTTGTCATGAAGGAGTGATTTATGGCAATCAAACTCTGTAGATATATATATATATATATATATATATACACACACATATGACATATACAATGTCATGTATTCTGATCTAAGCTCCATTGTATATGAAGCAGCTCTGCTTGTTATTCATCTAATGGTCACTGAAATGTTACTGGGAATACTACATCACAGAACCACTGGTAGTCTTCCTTTGTGAAACACATCAGTTGTTGTTAGCCTTGTTGTTGACATTACAGTGTTAGATCTGGTCTTAATCTGGTTATTGATCGTATAGTGTAAGGTCTGATATTAATATAGTTATTGATACTACCCTGAAATACATCTGGTCTTAGTCTTATTTTAGATGTTGTACTGTGATACACCTGATCTTAGCTTTCTTACTCATATTGCAGCATAATAGATACAGTGTTAAGCTTGTTATTAGCACTGTAATGTAATATATATGATCTTACTTTCTTGTTATGGATAATTCAATTCACCTGTGCTTACATTTCTTTTCTCAGTTATAATGTAATGCATCTAGTGATTCCATTGTATTACTGCCAATGTAAGGCAATTGCTCTAAAATTGATACAGTCTTGTTATATATTGTAATGCAGTACATCAAATCTTATAATTAATGACAGTGTAATAGATTCACTAAATGGAAATCTTCCCTTAATAATGTTAACTTTTTTGAGGATGTTACTTATCTGGATGATGAAAAGGATATGGACTTGGCGTACATAGATTTTCCAAAATCTTTTGGTAAGGTTCCTCACCAAAGTTTGACTAAGAAAATCACATTATTAATGTGGGATGGTTGGTTGAGAGAAAGCAAAAATCGTTGATAATGAAGTACAGCCAAATTAGACCCTTGTTACTATTGGAGTGCCTCATGGACCAGTGCTTGAGCCATAATGGCAACATAATTTGTAAAGTTTATGGATTGCATTAAACTCATTGGTATTGAGGATGTTTAGGTACTAGAGAATGACTAGAAAGGATTCAAAGCAATGGAAGGATTACTCATGGGGATGGGTTAAGATCTCTTAGTTTATTTTCTGTTGATAAAAAAATATAAGAGGTGATCACCCTTTCGCATCAGGTAGGTCAAAGTGTGCATGTCACAACCTTTCACAGAGGTACATTCAAAATTTAATTAAACCTCTATATTATCAATGTATATAAATAAACTTGGCATCAAAACATAGTTAATAAATCAGATTTTAACTTTATTTAAGTTTTAAGTATTACATTTGTACGAGAACTGTGATGTTTGTTATCTATGTCTTCCCTTTTCTCTAATTTATTTACCACCTCTCTGAGAAGTACAGAATTCAATGTAAATTATTCATTATAATATAGTTATTGCTCAAACAAAGCATAATTCTTATAGCCTTCAATCTTATTTTGTTTCAGAGCCATAAAGTAGAAAATGAGACCCCTCCTATCACATCCTCTCTTTCACAAATTGCAAATTTTTCTCTCTGATGTTTAATACTATATTATTTATAACCAATAGAAAGCCAAAGCTTTAATCTATCAAATGGCATATTAGGTTGTTTTCTGTACAAGGATTTGTTTAATTCTCTTCCTGTTCAAACGTTATTCCCATGGAAAACAAATTGATGAGCTTAGTTAAATTTTTAATGGCTGTTATCATGTAATTAGAAAACCAGAAAAATTATGTTAGTTATAGAACATTATATAGTTTTTACGCGTTATTATTCTGTGTTCTTAGGTGTATTATTTAATTAAATAAATATTTATTGCAGTAGTACTTTTGGTATAAAAAAGTAGGGTTAAGTTTTATTGACAGCAAAAAAAAAGACCCAGGTAAGTACTGTATTTCTTACTTTTCACATGTATTCTTCACTTATTATAACAAAAGTATCTAAAACAAAAAATTAGAAACTTTTAGGTTACAAAAGCCTAGATTACGTAAAATAAAGAATAATAATAATAACTTTTCTCAAAGTATGCTCAGGAGTAGCCCACGGAGTAACATGAGCTACACATTTGCAAATGATTTAAAACTTATGTGGCAAGATAATTAGTAAGACATGGTTCAAAAAGGCAATGAAATAATGAAATAAAGTATAAATAGATGTATACTGCTACAAAGTTTAAGCTACTTAGAATAAACATTTGTGGTCTTCTATTACAATTTGCAGTCATTCCAGAAAGAAAATAGGGGTAATTCCAATTTATTTCTTCTTTTCTTTTTGTAGGTTACGAGATCACTCAAATTTACCAACCTTCATATATGGTTAGGGTAGAAAAAAATAACATAAAGTATAAAGTTTTTCATTCGAAAAAAAGTATTATTAATCTTAACATGAAAATCATTTTGCATTTGGAGCAGTAAACACTGACACCATATAATTAAAGACAAATTTGAATAAAAATACTTAATTAAAAATTCTGATTTTTTTATCTATGAAAGACTTAAAGTTTGCTGAAAGCTTGACACATTTTATGAAGATACATTAAGTTATTTCAGAGTTATAGCATGTATACCACCATGGTTAACAGTTCTGCAAAATACAGACACCTGTTGTGATAGAGTTAAAGAAAGGAGAAGGAAAGCTATTTTATTTAACTTGCATACAGATAGTGTTAATAGTTTCGTAATATAATTTCTTGATAATATTGCCAGAGTTGAACATAATATAAAAAAAGTAAAAACAAATCTTTATTGCAAACTCCTTTATCAAACAAGGTAAAAAATTTAATCACTTTTTTCACAGACATTTATGTTGAGTTGAGTACTTAATAGGTGAACAATCCAGGAGTTTACCAGTATGCACTGATCCTTCCTGTGGAGATGAGCTGATTTTCAAGAGGTAGAAGAGAGTTCTTCTACTGATGTTACCAGTAAACTTCTGACTGGATATCGTATTATTGATTCCCCATCATTTGCTTTTCTTACCTATATCATACTATACTTTGTTTTCCAGTAGTCTCACTCCTGAATGTTGATGAAGACCCTCCAAGGTTGCAGAGAAGGTCAATATCTGGCCAGTAGTTGTATTTAGAGTTGGGTGATTAATTCAGTTAATCAAAATTAGTATTTCTGGTTATTACTGTTTTTGATTATTTTGACTATCCAAGTTATCAAAATTTTTTCATTATGATATTTCAATATTATTTCAATTAATTCCAGGTTTTTGGTTTAATTGAAATTATTTTTTTTCCAATCATTACTATTTTGGATTATTGATTAGTTGAATGTAATCTATTAATGATCTCGACGACTAATTAATCATCAAACTCCACTAATTGCCCAGCGTTAGTTGTGTTACATTTGTGTAACAGGCTTCTCCTGCAAGCTTCTCAACTTCATTGTTTAGCTTTATCCATGTATTGGCCTGCCTTATACGTCTAGGGGATTATCTTACCATGCACTGGCTTTGCTTTCTGCCTAAGAACCAATCACCATTCACTAATATTATGTCTATTTGTGGTTCATTGCTTACAACAATCCAGAGGAGCAGTTACTTTGTTTTCCAGCTTCATTTTTGTACTGCTTATGGGAAACTTTAATGTTTCATCAACCTTATTAAAAGTATTATTGCTTCTTTGGATGATGAATGCCCAACTAGCTCTTGCTATATTTGGGATAGGGATCATTTGTAGTTATGATGGCAGGTGACTGTCCACTATGGGCATTAAATAAATACTAACAGGCTTTTTCTGCCTCACTTTCTGCACAATATTTGCATTTACTGTCTAAGCTGATTTCCATAGATGTGCCATATGCTTATTCCTCACAAGAACATCTGAGAACTGATATCTGGTGGTGATGAATTATTTTAGTTATGGCTGTATACCAACTGACCACCTGTGACCATCTGTTAAGGTGTTGTTGTTGTTTTGTTTTTTTGGAACTCTCCTTGATTGGTGTCTGTGTGGGACAGAAGTTTGTGGTAGAACAGATAACTATGCTGTAAGACAGTTTGAAAATGTAGAAGTTATTATGGTATTATAGAATGCTGAAGTTTAAATTGGCTTTCCTTACAACAACTTTTGAAGTTAACCCTCTGGTGGAAAATAAAAGTTAAATTGGTTATACTATTTTGATAACCATATTAGTTCTACCTAAGTTGTATGTAAGTAACATGTAGTATTTGTGTGTGGATTTGGTGGAGTTGTATTTATTCATATATAAGTATCGAAAGGAGCTGTTGCTACAGTTGATACTGTACTTAAATGCTACTTCATGGCACAGTAGTTAGATCTTCTAGTAAAGGTGTATGTAAAAGGTGAATTATACATTAGTGTTTTTGATTTTCATCATTCTCCCATCCTAATCCAACCTTATGGATATTCCTGGAGAACTGAGGAGGAATATACATGTATGTGTAATGGGATCTTTCTTTATTGTTAGGGAAGAAACTGAAATCATTGAAGGAGAGGTTGTGGAGATTCAAATTGATCGACCAGCTACTGGCACTGTAAGTTAATTTTTTTCTATTTATCTTTAGTTGGATGGTAACACAAGAATTAGAGTAATAATTTTTCTTGTTTTTAAAATTCCTTGGCTTTCAGAATCAAAAATTCGACTGATTCATCATTAAATGTACACAATAGGTCTGTTTTGAGTTATCATACAGTATAATGTACCACGAAAATGTGTGCAAGATCTACCTGTTAACAACTATCACCAGTAAATGTAAAGAAAACTAAAGCCGATAAACAAGCCGTTCAGCACTGGATATGACAGATATGATGTGGTTCATATATTATTGTACAGGCTTCTTTACTTTCTCTCGGAAATTCTGGTATTTACTATAAAACATAAGTCTGATGAGCTGAGTTTCAAATTTAAGTCTACAAGCATATAGCCTAGACCTATATTAATGATGTAGCGTTATTTTTATGCAGTGAATAATTAGTTTTTTCTTTCCATAATACTCAGTTGTAAGTTGGCTAACTGTACGTTGATACAAAACAAGCAGGACTTCCTATTATGTGATTTTTAATAAGATCTTTATGATTTTTGTGACTTTGTTTGGGTTTGTCCTTCTTTTTTAGCAGGTGAAGTTAGTAAAATGTGTGATAAATGCATATAACATTTGCATGTTAACATGTTACTTGTCAAACAATACAGTGTACCATTAAGAAGTGTAATATTTGTGTGTAAATTTGTCAAACAGTATAGATATTTGAGGATCTGGTATGTAGAACAGTAGGTGTAGGAATTTTTTGTAGGTTGAATGAAAAAACATAACATAGTATAGAAGTAGAAGTGTAAATCAAACACTTTATTTGTTTTGAATTAAAATAAAGGTGAAGAACTGCCAATCACTTGATTGGTTAGGACTATTTGTTATAATTTATATTGAAAAAACCATTATATAAATGAAATGTATTAAGTAAAAAACTTAAACTACTTATGTTTGAATTGTAATTAAAATACACACAGCCAACAGGTTGAGAATTCAAAGAAAAAAAAGACTAGACTGTTACAGTGATGCTTAAATCCTTCAAACGTGTTCACTATTCACTTTCTCTCTGTAACTGATTAGTCGTAAAGCTGGATTAGAATAATCGTAAAGTATCTCTGCTCCATGACAGTTGTAGAGCAGTTCCACTAGATGATAAAGTAGGATACAGTACAACTATCCTATGAAACAGATAAAATATGTTATAAAAAAAAACAATGTTGTATTAAACTAGGAATAAAAATAAGTGGAAATTTCTTCAAAAATATAATTTAGAATAGGTAAATGATAGATTTTACTTACTGAAATTACACTGTCAGTACACTAGTGACATCCAGTATGCAGCAGCAGAGAAAATTACCTGACACAGATATAGATCAAAATCTAAAATGTACAAGCAACATTTAATGCATTTTAACTTAACGTCATTCTGTTTGGGTTTCATTTAATAATATTCTGGAAAACTTATCTTTGACATATGTCATATGTACCTTAACTGTTATTGATATATTTTCTTCAACATTTTTGCACTTTGTCTTTATGTAAAAAGTTAATTTTTATATGGTCAGGTGGTTAGGGCACTTAACTTACAATCTGTGAGTTGTGGGTTCGAATTCCTGTCACACCAAACATGCACGCCCTTTCAGCCATGGGGGTGTTATAATGTGGGTCAATCCCACTATTCATTGGTAAAAGAGTAGCCCAAGAGTTGGTGGTGGGTGGTAATGACTAGTTGCGTTCCCTCTAGTCTTTTACTGCTAAATTAGGGCTGGCTAGCACAGATAGCCCTTGTGTAGCTTTGCATAAAATTCAAAACAAACCATTTATTTTCTCAAATATTTTATCAGACATCTTTATTGGGTTAACACTAGAACCTCTAGGATTTCACTCAAAGCTAGAATTGCTATACTGCTGTCATTTTTACTGCTAAATATTACAATGCCAGTATTAAAATGAAAGACATTATTGGATACAATCAAAAGTTTTATTTTGGAACATCAAATCAAATGTAATTACAGCTGAGACACTGTATAAAAATTAACAGTTGTGCAAAAAAACAAATTAATAATTTAAATACTTTAATCAAATCAGCATATTAAAAGAAACAAGTCAGTAAGCTGGTATAAACAGTTATATGTACATACAAAACTTTGAATACAAACAAGTAGGTAAATTACTCTAAACAGTATATTTTCATAAAAATATTGTGAAGAAAATTATGTGACTCACATTATAAACTAGCCTAAGTGTCAAAATCCATGAAAGTGAAACACATTTCAACTTCCCTGTACATTTATCAGAAGTTCTGTTTTTATTGTATTTGGCTACCTGGCATTGTTTTATTTTATGCGTTTCTCTGAATTCAGGCTGAAATGCTTGGTCTTTGCAATTTTCTCAAATATGTTTTTGTTGGAACTCTGAGGCTAGTTTCAAGATGAAATATTTTCTCCAGGTATTCTTTGTACAAAACAAGGGAATTAAAGGCTGCCAGTTCCAGGACATAAAATGTAGCAACTGGCCACTGACAAGAACCAGCTTTTACTGTGTAGTGACATGCCATTTGGTCTACAATATCCAGTCTCTACTTTGGTTGTAAAAAAACACAGTCTCTGGTTGTTGTTTTTTTTTTCTTCTCAGTAGTGTATAGAGCTGAGAGTGCAAACATTTTTTCTTGGCTTGCACTTGTAAACAGTCAATGTATCAAAATCACTATGTTTCAAAATTGTACTGGTGTACAGTTTTGGTTGTAAATTTAGCAGAGATGGTGGAAGCTCTCTTCTTAATTTGTTCAGTTACAACTTAGCTGTTTTTTTTTTTCTGCAACACTTTTGCCAGTTCAAGTGAAGTAAAAAAAATTGTTTGTAGTTACATTCCTCACTTTTCCTAAGTAAGGTGCCATCAGCCTGAGTGCCACACTATAAGTCAGTCTCTAACCAGCTGGGTGAGTTTCATCTTTACTCAAGTAGGGGAAACCATTCAGAATATATTTTGAGGCAACATCTACTGCCAGCCAAAACTTTATTCAAAGTTTGTCCATTTTGTTTGCTGTGTGCCGTGTCAGGCAACACTGTGCTTTTGTGGTAAACAGCTGCTCATGTACTGCAATGTTCTTTCCCGACTTGTAGCAGACAATGCTGTTTTCAATTAAGACATTCCAAATCTCTGATGTCAGGGCAAGTTTGTTTGTTTGAAGTTGGGCATTTCTCATTGCTTTCAAGTCAAAATGCAAAAATCTCAGTATTTCTCGAAATCAATTCCTTGGGATTATCTCAGTAAAAAAAAAAATTCCCCATTGTGCAGATCAAAAGCTCTCCAGGTAAATGTTTTTGCTGCCATAGGCCCCACAAACATATAACTGTGCAATAAATGCTTGTAATTCCTTCAGAGATATTTTCCACAAATCATTGTTTTGCACCCTATACACCTCTGCCTCAGTACATCATTGGATGAAGGGTAGCATTTGCATATTAACCAATAAGTGAGAAGTACTGAGAGGGCTATGAATTTGTGTAACCTCAACACTGCGATTCATAATTTCACATATTGTTCTATCCTTCCCAATCTCCTGTATACCAGCTCGCACTGGTAATGCAACTGTAGTTGCTGTTGTTGGTACTGTACTGGCAAAGCGGCTGGAGCAGTTGCTGCAGGAGATGACACACGTAAAGTGGCTGGTACTGCAAAGAATTTTCCAGGACTGCTACTTCTGCTACGACCTCTTCTGTATCTGGAAAGCTGTTTTTGTGGTAGTGGCAGTTTCCTCATTTTCACTTGCAGGACTGGTCTGTTTCACAAAACCAGGACTTATTGCTTTTGTGATTTCTCACATTTCCCACATCAGAATCATTTTCTAACAAAGTTGTGAGCATCTCTATTACTTATAGAGTGGACATTCATCTTTTTTTAGCCATTTTTGAATTTCTGTCAGTTTCTCTGTTACTATATATATATACTGAAATGACAGACAAGCAGACACCACTTCTCATGGGAATTTATAGAATTATAGGTAGACTATGCTAAAATGCATTCACATCAGCCAACAGACAGACATCTATTCCTTGAGACTTCAAGGGCCAAAATATAATCAAATTCTAATGTAATGAAAGAGTTGGGAGCTCAATTGGAAGTAGAAATGACAGTAAGATCTATACTGAAAGTGCAAGCTACTTGCAATACAAAAAAAAAGAATTGTGTGTTGTTATAAATAAAAGCAGATATAGTAAACAGCAGTCAAATTGACAGGTCTTTGATGGTTCAGGTAAAAGTGATTATAACATTTTAAATTTTGTGATTCTGCCTTTGAAACACCTTTAGAGTATTTAACCCTTTCTCCACAAGCATCTTTTTCTGTGCATGTCAAGAGGTTTTAGTGAGTTAAATTCAAAAATTACTAAAACTACTTTCTTTTCATGGTATACCAATAACTATAGCATAAAAATGTAGCTAATAATCTATATTTTAATACTATATAAGTTTTAATTTTATAAGGCGATATTTAAAAAAATCCTTAATTTCCATTAGTATGAGAATTGTGACATTTCTTTCTAGGCATCCCCTCTTCTCTAATTTAATCATCACCCTTCCAAGAAATATTAAATTTAATGTAAATTACTCATTATAATTTTGTCATCACTTGGGCAAAGCATAATTTACATAGCCTTGAATCTTATTTAGTTACAGAGCAATAAATTAGGAAATATGACCCCTCATGCCACACCCACCTGTCACATCCTCTCTTTCAGAAATTGCCAATAGTCCTCTCTGATGTTGAATGCTATATTATTTATAACCAATAGAAAAATAAGGTTTTTCATCTATCAAATGACGTATTATATTACACTTCCTGTTCAAGCTTTATTCCCATGGAAAGCACAATGATGAGCTTAGATGAATTTTTAATAGCTCTTGTTGCATAGTTTGAAAAGCTAGACAAATTGTGATAGTTATGGGACATTGTCTGCTTTCTGCTTGTTATTATTCTGTCTTTTTTGGTGCATTATTTAATTAAATAAAAAAATATTGAGTGCAGTACTACCATTAGTATAAAAAGTAAGGTTAAGTGTCATCAACAGTCAACAGCAAATAAAAGAAAGAAGACCCACCTAAATATATTATTCCTTGTATTTCATGTGTATTCTTTATTTATTATTATAAAAGTAACTAAAATGTAAAAATTAGAAACTTTTTAAGTTATATAATATACAGATTTAGGAAAAGTCATGAATGGACAAGAGCATATCTTTCATCCATGCAAAGACATTTAAATTTTAAAAGTAAAAACTGTGAAATTAACAGCCTTGGCTGTTTTCATGTTAATTGATTTTTTCATTGTTTGTACATTTCTTTATTTTGGTTCTCTCACACACACTTCTGAAATATTTAGAATCATATGCACTGAGTGGTCAATGTAAATCAACATCTCATCTAATGTGGCACTACCAGTTGTTAGACAGAAATAAAGTTTTCGAGATAACGTCACAGTATAATCTATCATATAAAGCTATGATCAATTTGATGGTTAAACACATAAAAGAACTAGTTGTTGACAAGATAAATTGATCATTAGAACAGCCCTACTGTCTCTTCGTAGCCAAATGAGCCATTTTTTTTCAAGTTCAAAGTTTTGCACTACATCTGAATGTAGTGATAAAGATGCATGATAAAAAAGAAAGATTGTCAAAAATCAACAGTATTTTGTAAAATGTAGGTGGTATGTGTCATAATGTAGATGAAAGATGTGTATATCCCATGTATGCAGCATAGCCCAGAAAGTACTAGGAAATATTCCATTAAAAATCTACATGATAACAGTATAATATACCATACTAAGTGTTTATAAGATGTAACTGTGAGGTATTGATATTCACTGATGTGTGACAGATAATTGTTAAGATTTGCAATAAGCAACAAGCTTAGGAAGTGTTTTTTGAAAAATAAATCAAAGTAAAAGAATGGGCTTAATCATTTGAGTGAAACAAGGATAAAAACATTTTTTATTTGATAGTGAATAACTGGGGTCTTATTTTGTATTATTGGCTGGCCTTAAGTTCACTGATTAACTGCTCTGATTACTAGAGCTGGTAAAAAATTACTGCTTCTCAATAAAAAAGACAAAGGAATTGTGACTACCACACTGTTAAGTCAGATAAAAGTCCTAGTGTGATAGTACACAATCCTAGATCACCTATGTAAATGATCCTTTCCTTTATACAAATCCATGGGGAACTAACCCCAACTCATACTGGCTCTTTATCATCCCTCCCTTTGGATATGACTCTCACTTCATAAGGTAGATGACACAGAAGCATGGCCAAGTAAATATAAGTTCTGAAGTGGTCACTGTGTTTTATAGTTAGTGTAAGTTTATGACTTTTCTCATCCTGTTTGGCTAAAAAATATGGTCTTTTCTCAGTTATAAAAGAATAAAATATAACAGTTTTTAACTGCTACATATATTAACTTGTCACATATTGCGGTATACCATTTAGAGCTGGACAGTTAACTCGATTAATCACTATAATTGATTACACTTATTAATGTCATGAATACAATCAAATAATTTAAATTAACTGTTTGGGTTATTAATATTTTCATTTATTCCAACAATCCAGGTAATTGAAATATTGCCATTATGATTTCTTATTGTTATTTTCAATTAATTCAAGGTTGTTCAGCTTAATCAATTAGTATCATAACTTGCAAAAGTAAACAACTAATTGAAATTAGGAGTTTTAATTATTATAGATTATTATTTTTTGATTATTCTAACTATCCATGTCTCATGAGAATAATCAATTAGATGTATGTAGTCATTTATTGAACCCAGTTGTTAATCGACTGTTGAAGTCCACTAATCATCCAGCTCTAGTATTATGATAAACAAGATTTATGTGTTAACTTGTCATATAGCATATATTACAATGTTTAGTTTGTGTAAAATCTCTGTTAACTTCTTACATGATATAGAAAGTGGTATCATATTTGTGTTTTTTAACTTGTTTTATTCAATATGTATTATATGTGATTTGATAGGGAGCCAAGGTAGGGAAGTTGACATTAAAGACTACAGAAATGGAAACCATATATGACTTGGGTCAAAAAATGATTGAATCTCTCACTAAAGAAAAGGTTCAAGCTGGGTTAGTGACATAATTTTGTATGTACAATATGTACCAATTCCATATAGCTATATGGGATTCTTTATTAATTAATAAAAGAAAGCCATAAAAATGATATGACTTGTAAACTAATATATTGGAAGCTTATATTTTTTGTGTGATAAGATAATAGATATTTAATTTCAATAAAATAGTTTGAAAATACTTAGTAAGAACTGTTGTTTTTAAAGAGTTTTTAAAGTATTAAATGAAATGAAATGATTGTTGGTAAAATATTATCCTGTGTCTCATCCATGTGTTTAGTTTGATAAAAAGTACTTTTTCTATCAGTATCTCAAACATGTGTTTTCCTTTTAGTGATATCATCACTATTGACAAAGCTACTGGAAAGATCACCAAACTTGGTCGATCATTCACGAGGGCTCGTGACTATGATGCTATGGGTCCACAGACGAAGTTTGTGCAGTGTCCAGAAGGTGAACTACAGAAAAGAAAGGAAGTCGTTCACACTGTCACTCTCCATGAGATTGATGTTATCAATAGTCGAACACAAGGATTTTTAGCTTTGTTCTCTGGTAAGTAGTAGAAGTAATCAAGAATATATGGCATTTATAGCTTACAAACATCTTATACAATAAGTAAAGCACTCCAGAAACTTTCTGTACTTGCTCATAAAACATTTATGAGATAAAAACATAAACCAGCAAGTAAGAAAGGTAAGAGGTCACATGCACATTTTAAATACTGCATATGCATACAACAAAATATAATGTTATGTTTTATCCCAAACATATTGGATAATTTATATAGCATAATGTTGAAACATTTTTAAACAATGTTCCACTTTCACTTCTACACTGATCAGAGAAGTCTTGCCTGTAAACAACTCACTGATCCATTCCAAAACATAGGATTTAATTTGTTAAGAAACTATCATAATATAATGTATATAATAATCCATGTCTTGTTTCTCATGTGGTTATCCTTCTGAATTAGTGATTTATTATTACAGGCTTCATATTCACATTTTTATGATGTCCTATTTTGGTCTGAAAATTTAATGATGAAGCATTGCTTTGAAATTAAGTATAAGAAACATAAGTGCACTGTATAGAGTAGATTATAAACTATTTATGTCACTGTAGAATTAATAAAGTGGTTTGAGTAGTAAGTTATGCTTTCATGAGAAAGTGGTTAGATGGAGTTTCTGCAATAATGAACAGAGGAATCTAATGGAAAGATTAGAAAACTTGGCAACAAACCACCTGTCTCTGTTTTTTTTTTATATTCTTTTCCTTGCAGAAAAGATTTCTGTGACAAGATATTAGATAAGCTTAATTAAGTATAGCAGGTATTGAGCATAAAAAAGTAACTATCAAAATAAAAGAAAATGTGTACATTAAACATTTACATCTTCCACGACTGTATACATCTTTATTTTTATTTGTTGGAATATTCATTTTGTTTTTTTCCGTAATTGTGGCCCATAAAATTTTTTCTTTATTATTTCAGTATGTGCTAGCTTATAATTTGTCTTTTTGTAAAGGTTTCTGTCTTTTGACAGGTTATTTTTGATTATCAAGTAAAAATAATCCAAAGTCCAGTCCACCTTAAGGAAAGTGTTATTTTTTTTTACCTTAACCTACAAGTTTTACAAGCTACATCTGTGGATATGCTTAACTCACAAATAAAACTTGACAGTCACTTGTACAGTATCCTTTTGTATCTATAACAAATAACTAACACGCTCTCAAACTTGGTAATCGATCAATAACACAGTAACAGATTCACTAACTAATCAAGTCACTGACTCTCATGTTTTTATATACCACAATAATTGTTTCTTCCCAAATCTCACAAAAATTCCAGAATGTCAAAATTTGGACATGCTGGAAACTTCTAGGTATCACATGTTATCAAGACATAATGCCAAACTAGCAAACAACATAAAACATCTAATTATTATAAACATAGCCTATAACAATATGTTACTAAAGTTTCTAAGAATTATACTAACAAGAATCTACAGGTAGTTTTGTATAACACAAATCTGGTAATATTGGCTATGTAATTTAAATGTTAATGTAAAATATCCCATGGTAAAATTAGAAAAATATATATTTATGAATTTCAGATTTTATTGTGTCATTAGCATCTGCCATATGAACCCTATAATTTTTATTTATATATAAAAGTAATTGATATTTAAATCGGGTTTTGAACAAGTGTTTAAAACCCTAGAATAGTAAATTTTCAAATTAAAGATTTATTTTAAAGGTGTTAAATAAGTCATAAAAGTAACATGTTAAGTATCATAACATTTTTAATATTCATAATATTATAATGATATACTTTAAAAAAAGTATAATTATGTGTTAAAGGTAATATTGTAATATTCCTAGTGCATAAAATAAAATGTTCAGTATTTTCAATTATAATTGTTATTTGATTCCATCTTGTCTAGAAAATATCAAAGTAAGTATGTGAGAAGTACGGTTATTTACCAGAACACAAGTGTATGAATCCTGTTAAATAGAGCAAGATGGAACAAAGCACATTTGTCATAAAGACAGTACATTTTTATTATACTTATGGTTCGGTTATGCTAATAACTGCAAAGTGTTTTTTTTTAAATCACAACAGCAACTGCATACTAAGTTTTTAAGACTTAAAAATGGGAATGTCATTCAAGTGGAAACTTTTTCTACCAATCTTTGAGACAAACTTGTAATTTTTTCTCTGAAAATAAAATGTTTTTTTTTCTAGTGTTTATTTCTCCACATTGGGAATAAATAAACTTGGATAAAACTGATGAAAATCATACCTTGGAACACAAATATGAGACCAGTTATGATAATGATTAACCACTTTGTTGTAGGCATAACTGGTAAAAGAAAAGCTAATGTCCAAAAACATAGTTCAGTGACAAATATGTTTTTAATTGTTATGACAAAATGAGAGAATTCTAGTAAAGCTTAATTATTTTGCGAGTTCACTAAACTGTTAGAGATCTTGGTTTTAAATTTGTACCAGTAAGATATTAGATTTTTTTTTAGAACTCTGACATCCACTGTCTTGTTTTTTTGAACCAAACTTAAAATATATTCTTCCAATGTTTATCACTTGAGTACAAGCAGCCAGAAATGTACTTGTAGTATGCAATAGCCCATGATTCTTTACTTGAAGCAGTCACAAGTATGGGAAGCTCAAAAGTATACAAAATATACAAGGATACAAAATATCTGAATGTCAAACCTAAATTTAATTGCATTAAGCAAAGACCAAGTTTATTTTCAAAAGCACATCATCCATTCAAGGACCTGTGTCAGTGAACATAAAAATTTTGAATCTTTTCAACTGTTTCATTTGTTCTTAGGCATATGTGCTTGTAAATAAAAGAACCAGGCCACTAAGAATGACCTGTAGTTAAAATAAAGAACAACTCACAGTCACTGGTCTGATGCAGAAAGCGGTTAAAAAAGTTAAATCCTTACTGTGTTTTTGCAAGAGACATAGTGACAGTGCTTTCAAACTCCACTTCCAAGTGGTACAAATGGATGAGAATGGTGACCCATTTTCCTTGAACAGGATGCATCCATTGCAGGTTAACCTCTGCCTAATAACTAGGTACCAATCAAACAGTTGGGTAGACTGGAATAACTGGGGTTAATTAAAGTGTCTTGCTCAAGGACACAACAGCATGATGCAAACTTGCAACCATCTGACTAAAAGTCCAAAGTACAAAACCTCTGAGCCTTGTTGCCCATGCAAAAAGCAGTACAGCTAACTTGAAATAAGAATTAACTTGTATTTCAATGACCACAATTTTAGTTTTCGTTTATTGATGTAATTTGAATTCATGATCCAATCTGAAATGAATATGGAACTGAAAATGCTTATACGACTAAAGCCATTTTTGTTTAAGCTCATTTTAAATGTCTGGGATTAGTTAAGGTTATGAGAAGCCACAGCTTTGACTAAAGACAAATGACTCACAGTAACACTGCCCTAATCCTAATGTCAGACAGATGTGAAATGATTTTGTTTCTTACAAATCCCAGCATCTTTCAATCAGAAGCAAGTTTTATATTTTGGAATTGAAGTTTTAAAATACTTGTAACAGTAATTACTCTTCATTTTCAGTGCTTAATTTGGAATATAACAGCACAACCAATATTTCAGTAATTATTACAGGAAGTGTAAGCACAACCAATATTTTAATAATTATTACAGGAAGTGTAAGCACAACCAATATTTCAGTAATTATTACAGCAAGTCTAAGCACAACCAATATTTCAGTAATTATTAAAGCAAGTCTTTAAGCACAACCAATATTTCAGTAATTATTAAAGCAAGTTTCTAAGAACAACCAATATTTCAGTAATTATTACAGCAAGTCTCTAAGAACAACCAATATTTCAGTAATTATTACAGCAAGTCTTTAAGCACAACCAATATTTCAGTAATTATTACAGCAAGTCCCTAAGCACAACCAATATTTCAGTAATTATTACAGTAAGTCTAAGAACATCCAGTATTTCGGTAATTATTACAGCAAGTTTAAGAACAACCAATATTTTAGTAATTATTACAGCAAGTCTTTAAGAACAACTAATATTTCAGTAATTATTACAGCAAGTCCCTAAGCACAGCCAATATTTCAGTAATTATTACAGGAAGTGTAAGCACAACCAATATTTCAGTAATTATTACAGTAAGTCTAGGCACATATTGTACTTCGGTAATTATTACAGCAAGTTTAAGAACAACCAATATTTCAGGAATTATTACAATAAGTCTCTAGAAATGAACTGAATAAAGAGAATATGAGACAGTTTGTAGGTCTAACAGTCATTATTAATGATTTCAACATACGGGGCATCATACATATAATAGAAGTGCATTGTGATTATGAAAACCTTGGTGTTGAATATAAATTGCTTACTCGTGTCTCTTCCAGATGTAGTTTGGTTTTACTTTAGTTCTTTTAAGTAAAACGATATCTTTTTTTGAATTTGCCAGACTTTATAAATAATGCTTTTCCTATTAAAAAATGTTACAAACCTTGGATAGATAATTATCAAGCTATTTTATGCAGTGTTTGGATTTGCATCTTCATCAGGAGCATGTCAGGACAACAGTATTTTAGCACAAGCATTCTAATCATAACAACAAGTGTATATCATATTAAATGTACGTATTAATGCCCACAAGTTTGAATATATATTTTTGTTTATCCTTTTTATACATGAAAAAGTTTCAGGGATCACTTGATTTTTGATTGTCTAGCTATATCAGTTTTGTTTTTAAATGTGTTGTGTAGGAGATACTGGAGAAATTAAAGGAGAAGTCAGAGAACAGATCAATGCCAAGGTTGCTGAATGGAGAGAAGAAGGTAAAGCAGAAATTGTGCCAGGTGTCCTTTTTATTGATGAAGTTCACATGTTAGACATCGAAAGCTTTTCTTTCCTTAATCGTGCTATGGAAAACGATCTTGCTCCTGTCCTCATCATGGCTACCAATCGAGGTATCACAAGAATCCGTGGGACAAACTACCAGAGTCCCCATGGAATTCCCATTGACATGTTAGACCGTCTTGTCATCATATCAACTACTCCATATGAAGAGAAAGAAATCAAACAAATTCTTAAGATCAGGTAAATTACTTATTTGATTCAAAACTTTGATATATCAGTACAATAGAGACCTCCTAAATAAGTGTTATAGTATTTATAAACATTCTTAATGTGTTGAATGAGCTGTGTAGTAAAATATATTGATGTACAGTCATAATGTTTCTTCTTTTTAACACTTATGGATCTCTCCATAGAAATAATTAGCACAGCAGAAGCTGGTTATGGGTTTTTAGTTTAAGTATTCTTTAACACTCATAGCATGCATTGGAAATGTTATTATTATGTGGATTCTTGTGTATATTAAACTTTACTGTACCCCTTATATCCAATAAATATTTAAATGTCAGGTTTATAGAGACTCTTTCCTTTAAACAACACAAGTAACTGTAACAGGATGTGGGTAAACAAATCATCCAGATTTATCCTCTTAGAAGCATTTCACTTCTGGCAGAATTTAAGATTGTGAATCTAACAACATGGCTGAAGTAATGACAGTTTTTCATTACTATTATTATTAACATAGAGCTTGTAGTCATTGTTAAAATATTGTATAGCAAGCTAGTAACCCTAGTGCCTAATTGTGTAAATGTTTAATAACTGTATCATACATTAAACTTCTTCTTTCATCCTGAGTAGATGTGAAGAGGAGGATGTGGAGATGAGTGATGATGCACTGATAGTGTTAACACGCATCGGTATGGAAACAAGTTTACGTTATGCCATCCAGTTGATTACAACTGCTAATTTAGTGTGCAGGAAAAGAAAGGTAAGTTAAACAAAGCAAACATACATAGATAATCTTTTATGAATAGGAAACAGAAAGTGATATTTCTTTTTAAAGTTTCCACGTAAGCATGTTCGTGTAGTTTTCTATAAAGAACTCTGTTTCTGATTGATATTTTTTAGTCACTTTAATAGAAAATAACTTGTATGTTCATAAAAATGTTTGGTACTTAATGCCTTTGTGTTTCAGACTAAAATATCAGAGAATTTTTAAGTTGTTATACTAAATTTTTGGTTCTTGTCATTTTTATTTTAGGGCACGGAAGTGTCAATAAATGATGTGAAACGGGTCTACTCACTTTTCCTGGATGAATGTAGATCCACTCAGTTTCTTAAGGAATACCAACAAGAATTTTTATTTAATGAAATGAGTGAGTTTTGATTCTGTTTAGTTATACAGCATAATTTCCTGTATATATACTTTTGAATTTATTTTAGTAGTTATGTCATCGTTTATTATTAAAAATTGCTATGATTAGGATTAATGATTTTTCCTCTTAACTGTTTCAGTACTGCCCCATTGTGTTAAAGAAAATGAAACAATCAATGAGTTAATGTTTAGTGAAGTGAATAATTAATTCAAAAATATAATTACAGTGTTTTGATCCATAGTATAGTGATGACCCAATACTGTGGGTCAAAAAATTTACCTACAGTAAAAGTTACTATTATTGTATTTTTCAGTAAATTAGTAAGTGAATTAAATTTAAGCATTATCACACATTGTATGGCATGTTAACTACATTAATATCTGTTAAATGAGTTAGTGTCATACATTTTATATGTATGAACTATATAACTTCAAATCATGCTTTTATGTTAATATATTTTCACTTAGATGCCGAACCAGGTTCAGAAACCATGGAAACAAGCTGAATATAAGTGGTAATTTTGTTTATGCTTTTTGTAGAAAACTAAGATTTTGTTTTCAACACAACCACACTTCATTTTTATAAACCTGTATCACCCATTGAATGCTTATTTAAAACAACCACGCAGAAACCGTTCACTTTGTTCAAAATAAAACTTTTTCTTTCAAATGGCTTTGTCATTATGTTCCATAAGAATAAATTTTAATTTTAAATGGATTTGTTTTCTTCTCACAAAGGTTTTAGAGCTTCTTTTTTTTTTAAGATGGAGATGAAAAAGATATCTTGTTATTATAGTTTACATCTACTTTTTAAAATAAAGTATAATAGCCACTTGTTTCTTGAGTACGAAGATATTTTGGTCCTTGTTGATCATTAATCAAATACTTTCACTAGTACAAATGTGAAACACAGAAAAATTTTAAATAGATTTTATAATTGTGTTAAAACTGCACTAGATAAATGTCATATTGTTTAGAATTGCAATATGATATTTTAATGGTTCTGCATTCATGTAGAATAAAATGTTCTGGGGGTGTTTTTTTTTGCATAAAGATACATTAAAAAAAGATAATTTATACACACTGACACATATGACGAATTGCATCATTTAATACTTTAACCTGTTCATCACCATTGATGAAATATGTAATGTATTAGTGATATGAAACTGGAATTTTGACACTGGGAATAAGCTCATGTATTCCAAACACCTTTTATTCTTGTTAATGCATAATACAAGGTTAAATAGTTTTCAGTACTAGTTAAAACATATAAAGAGACCAGTAACAGGAATACCTCCCCCCACCCTTTCCCTTAAAAAGTTTAAATCTCTGTCATATTGAAATTTTTCTAACCCACACAATCTAGTGTTATTACAAATGACTATGAAAGCAAGTACTTAATGTACAGAAATGTTAAGTAAGTTCACCTGCAAAAGCTTTTATCACAAACATTGTCCATTTTCAGGAACAAAAAAGGGTTTATGAACTACTTTACATGCTTTTTTTAACGATACAAAAAAAGTCAGCACTTGTATATGAATAGGATGTAAAATGCTTATCTTTTAAAAGTGTATTATTAGCTGACATTTTAGACCTGTGTTTCAATTATTATAAGTTGGAAAGTTTTCTTTTGTGAGATGACTGAATGAGTTATATAAACGTGCAGGTTTTTATTTATTCTTATGAAAATTTTAAAATGTTTACATCATCATTAATAGTCAAAAATGGGCCTTGCAGTATATGAGCTGAATGTCCAGTTGTTTCTCTGCATCAGTTTTGGACTTTTGAAAAAAGAGTACAGAAAAATGTGTTTACATGTTATCATGCAATCAGAGGACAAAAATATGCAATATTTCTTTGTCATCTCTTCAGTGCCTGACTCTAGTAATTCATATTAGAAAATAATCTCAACAGTGTTTCAAAACTTTATAACTTAAGTGTTTACAAGCTCATGTTTAAAGAAGGTTCAACTATATAAACCTTAATGGTTTAACTTTTTCATGAATATCACCTATAATAAAAATGTAGAGTTTAGAACTAATACGTTTACTATAAACACTATTACACAATAAGTTAGCTTTAAGCTTGTGCATCTCAAGAGTGATTTGAACAACAGGTACATCCCAAAGACTGATAAGGGATAAAATAAAAACACTTAAAAATATTCAAGAAAAGTTTCACCAGTGAAGATGTGTTTAAATCAAGGTATGAACACTTTGGCACAGTTTTTTCCCCCTTTTAGGATTGGTAGAAATGCAAAGAGCTCATTCATCATTAAACCTTATACAGTTATATTCCCAATATATATGTACAAAACCTCCCAGATTTGAAAATACACCTTAATTAATTTTATAGTCTAATTTCTAATATACTTATATCTAAAACTTGTTGATCATTATTACAAGAGACTTACATTTCAATTTGTACAAAACTTTAAGTTATATTTTCCCATGTTATAGGTAAATCTTAAATCCCTATGCTACACACATATTGCTACTATTAGTTGTTACTTTCCTAAGCGTTTCTAGCAAAAGCTCTACCAAACAGGCATGAATTATAAACCTATATAACCAACATACCTCAACCATAATAAGGGAAATTACATTTGCTAACTTTTCCATTAACTTGTATGGGCAACTCCCATACTATAAAACAATATTCTACAGTTAATATATGTATTTTTCTCATGTACAATAAACAGTGGTAGACAATAATAATAATACAAAAAAGCTGATGAAAAGTATTGGAAAGTACCAAGTTGGTGTCTACGGTGGGACTTGTTGAGGTAGTCACAAGATTTCACTCATAATCTGCAGTCTTCTTTGAAGGAATCAGTATTCTTGAGTATAGAAATGAAAAGCATTTATTCAAACTCCAGAGTTCAGAACTTGAAGTATGTATAAAGGAGTGTATCAGTACTTCTTGGCCTTTTCATGGATGGGTAAGGCTTGTGTTAGCAATTTGCTCTCACAAGTTGTTAGATCCTGAAGCATTACAAAAATAATATCAACTTGCTTATCCTGGTTTTTAAAACTTGATTGTCAAAATATGTTTTTTTTTACCAGATGGTATTGTATCAGGCCTTTCTGTTACTTTACAATATTCACAAACTAAACAAATTTTGAGCCAGTGTTCATGTAGGAATTTAAATGTGGACTTTACTTCCACCATTTTGTTTGCTGCCTTGAGAACGCTCTTTTATTCTGTCTTGTAACCTAAGAAGAAGCCCACTGAGTACATCATGGTTGTGGAGCTTTTTTCCAAAGATTAACTTGCGTACACTGTCATCGTAAGTTAGTAAAGCCACCATGTTCTGTAGAAGGAACCCCTGACAGTACTCTAGTAGTTGCACTGCACTGTAAACTTTAGCATGAATGTACATTGACACCACATTATCAAGATCTACATACTTAGAACATCGAGCTTCACAGAAGCGTAATAAACCATCAAGCTGAAAGAAGTTTGCTGCTGCCATCAACTGAAAAAATGAGAAAGAAGACCAGTACTTTACTTAATCATTGAACTCTACATGCTTTAAGCTGTATTTAATATACAAATAATGATTTTGTTTTTAATTCGACCTCCACTTTTAAATGATATTCAATACTTTCATGTGGAATTAAACTTGAACTAGCTCTTTCACAACTATAACAATACAGTAGATGCTTCATAATGACGAACTTTTATGTAATGTTAGAACTACATCAATAGACATACAACACTGAATTACTTGTTAAATACCTTTATAATTCAATTCTATCATGTATGAAACTTTTTGAAATTACCATGTCATTATATTTTCAAGAAAAATGGGAAACTTAGCTCATAGTTACTAATGGTATCAACTAAATTATCCACTCAAACATACTATTAAATATGTATGTATATTTGTATAAATGAGACCAAAACTACATGCAAAAATTCCTTTCTTCTCAAATACTGCTACAGAAAATGTTGTTATTTAATTAACTCTGAAACCATGAGTCAATTGTGCAGAAATAATTTTTTTTTTATGGCAACTTTGAACAAGAAAAATCTACCAGACCAGTTTCTGACATAAAACTTTAGACAAGTTTAGGGTTTTAATTTCTGCTTCAAATGTTGAACTTACAACTGAAACTATGGTAAACATGACAATCTTCCAGGGTATATTGGCCAGATTAGCATTAAAAACAGGTCTTTTGCAGTTAAATTATTTGCAAATAGCAACAGACTTTCACCAAATTCTTGACACAAATGAGGGAAGAACTCATTTTCAAGCTCTTTCTCTGCAAGAAGTAAATTGATGAGCATAATAGTTGTATTATTTGATAGTTTTAATACTAAATAATTGTTGACAGAGTTTCATTGGTTGTAAATAACACAGGGTAAAAAGAAAATCCATAAATAATTTTAGTCAGTACCTACCTCAAGTATATCATGTTGATCAGCATCAAAATCCTCACAGCCTCCTTTATATAGATACTGCATAACTAACTGTAAGTAAATTTGTAAATATTACAAATTATAAAAATACTTTGGAGAAAGAAATATCCAAAAACGTATTATTATTAGGTGAGTGATTTGTTCCCATTCTTATATACTCTGATTGTCAGTCTGTTTACTTAAAGGTGTCCAGAATTTATGTCACCCACTTTTGATCCAGTTTTCTTATAGGCAAGTTGGAACTTGTGCTAAGTTTAATAGTACTGAACAAAGAATAATAGTAAAATTCAAACTTTTGTTCAATAGGTGGTGATATCACAGAAATTTACAATATTTGTATATAGACAAGTAGTAAGCAACTTCATATAAATTGGTAATAAGATACTGGGAGAGACTGACAGTGTCATCATAATTAAGAAATTTCATTCACTTATTTAGAAACTTTCTCCAATTCTATAGGCTACTTTTTATTTGTACACATAAACAGAAATAAACTTGGATCACAAGGTTATATATACCAGATGCTTGAATAGAAGTTAGTCAAAAATAAAATACTGGCTATGTTGAAATGTTTTTCCCAAAAAGTGTTGAAGTGTCTTTGTGTGTCTATACACATTTGTGCTATCAATATAAAAATCCTTTTGATAATCTACTAAAAGCTAATATTTATTAATTGTTTGTAACAGCTTTGGATAGTTTAACTACAGCACATAGGGTCAAACATCTTACCTGAAAGATATCATACCGAATGTCATTGATCTGGACAACAGGAGGCATGCCATCACTGGATTTGGCTGATAGCATGGCTTTAAATCGAGGTGAAGCATTTACTAAAATGATCTTGTGAGCATAGAAGACACGCCCTTCAACTTTGAACTGGACATCAGACATTTCAGGATTGTTGACATATTTTGGGTCTGTTACAAAACAATAATAAAAAACAGCTTGTTTTAATTTTTTTGTCAAGCTTAATTAAATTCTAATTTTACAGACCTTTGATAGGGGATCACACGTATTAAATCAAGGTTTTGCATATTTAAAAAATGACTACTTATAAGCCTTAAAAACCTTTTCGGATTCTCTGCTGAAAAACAGGAAAGTTTACTTTAACCCATTAACTGTGGATAACGGATATTTCCGTCATCAAAGTTCTATGGCTCAGCTGTGAATGACGCAGATTACCGTTTTATTGTGATTGATAGCAACTCAGTTTTATCTGCGAGTCAGAAAATGGCAACTGAGCTGCTCCTGCCACAGTAAATGGGTCAAAGTACCAATTCTTTTAATCACTAGCTGTCATAAAGGGACAGTCACATATACTAAATACATAACAATAGTGTTTCCCAACCTCTTCCAGTCCAAAGTATACTTGCTTAAATAAAGTTGTTGTGTGGCTCACTAATCCCTCTCCCCTGCACCTTATGAAAACATGACTCCTACTACCATGTGAACAACAAAGTCATTAGAGAGTAGCATGATCTATTGCCTCATGTCTGTACACTGAAAGAGCAGCAAGACAGAATACATTTTGATTCTGTGTACAAACCTAGTTAATATAAATGACATATCATTTATACGTTTTCTCGTGAGGCTTTTACTAAATTGCATGGCACACCAGTTGAAAAACACTACACTTTTAGTGACCTTAACAGATACAAAATGCAATTTGTAAAATTCTTCTATAGACAGCACAACATTTACTAGTAAAATGCAAACATAAAGACATGAACAAAAACACCATTACTCATGTAATATTGCTTTTGTTGTTTTATCCCAATTAAATTTTAAACATTGTTTATTACATAAGCAACACTGCTTACCAATTCTTGCTCCTCCAACAAGAGAAACATTATGAATTTCTTTTATGAACTCTTTTCCATAGCAACTGGAGAAAATGTCAGCTAAGAGAAGGCTAGTGCCTTCATTCTGTAAGTAGAAAAAAATTAAATGCTATACCACAAGTTTTTTATAGAGAGAATTGAGTATGTTATATTAAAATGATTTTGGAGCCACACCATGTTGCTACATCAAGTCAAGCTCTATTCAACAACTTGTATACGAGGACAATGGTTTCCTAGTGCCCATTTCAATGGTCCGATCACATAGGTGCTGCATCAAGTAACTTGATCATTATGTCTTCATACTGAATAGTATGAATAACAATTTCAATCTCCAGCTGCTTGATGCATGCAACAGTTGAAGAGATATGTCATAGAAGCACCTTGTGTCACTTTTCCATATGGCAATCCTTCTATATTTTACTGGATGGCTTTTTGCCACTGACCTTTGTGTTTATGAATTCTCACCTGTTACAAGAGACTGCATTTTGCTTACCATGACTAAGGTTACAATTTGTGGCAAGTCTCTTTCTGGATGGTCCTGGTGCCCTACCATTCATTCATATTCCTTTACTTTCCAGTAAGTACAAGGGATATCTCATCTCAGGTCTGAATACATCTTTATGAACCAAGTTCATGAAGGTTTTGTGTCAGAAAGGGCTGTTACATACCCTTCCCAAAAGCAATTGATTTTGGTGGCATCACACTACCTATGGAAAATGAAACAATTTCAAAATGTAGTTCTGATACATTCCATTCCACTGCAACTTTACATTGGATGTAGTTGTCATGCAACCTGCTGCTTTATATGTCCAAAATCATTTTAATATAATGAACTCACCCCTATACAACTTGTTATACACATCAGAGTTACTAATGAATTTCTTAATTTGTATATAATTATCACAAAAATGTTCTGGCAGTGTGTTTGATCATTTCAATTTGTTTCACCAACTGATCAATTTTTTTGTTGTTTAACTAAAGGATATTTTGTGTTGTTATTTTAAAAAATAATTCAAACCTTGCTGTGTCTGAAGATTGTGAAGAGCAAAGGCAAACACTCATCCACAAACTGAGAGCTGCAGTCCTCAGGCCAGACTTGTACAAAGTCCTGAAGAATTTGATCAATGATATTCCCCAGGTGACACTCGTAGGCTGTAGCCAAGGTCTGCATCCAGCAGTGGAGAGTCCAGGGCACACCTATATAAACATACAGCTTGGTTAATTTCCTCTATAATAAAATCTGGAAAACACCAAATATATCATATAAATGTAACTACCACACCACTGAAATAAAAAACAGTAATTTGATAATTTACAAGACAGAAAGCAAAACAGTTTATGTTAAGGCTAAATTATTACTTAAATCTATGTTCTCTCTGTTACAGGTTTTCAAAAAAAGAAAATACTTTTTTAAGCTTTTACCTGGAAACATTTTTTTCTCTGATCGAGTACAACACTGCCTTCTTTTCTGATGAGCAAGAAGTTAAATTTTTTCATTTTTATTAGTATTTAGTTGTCATATTTATTATTCAACATTTATTGATAAAACTGTGAAAGTAACAAATAGTTTAAAAAAATCAAGTAATGGTGCTAAAACCTTCACAACATGCCCTATTGAAATCAATAAACTAGACAAAATGAATAAAAACATTATAACCGGAGCACTTTCGAAAGGTGGACTTTTCTTCTTCAAGGGCAAACTGAAGAACAGTTTGACTTTAAAGAAGAAAGGACCACCTTTCAATAGCGCTCGGTTTATAGTTTTTATTCATTTCTATCAAGACTTCTTGAACCTACGTGTTTTTCTAACATCAGGAATAAACTAGACAAGTGATTATCAATCTTAATTCATGTTATTTTTTAAATCATAATGAATTTACTGCAATAGCTTTAAAATTTCTTTCTACAGGTGTCACACCTCTGATGAATCAAGACTCACCTATGCTCCTCAGATCTAGTGTACTTTCCAAGTGACTGTTCTCTGAGCTCTGATACATAGCTTCTTGTAGAGCTTTCAACTGAGATTTTGTCAGTCTGATGATCTGAGCATTTTCTGAGCCACTGATGTTACTACCAGTAGTTGAACGGTTTAAATCATCCACAGATACTGGCATAATCTACTGGCAACAATAGCTGTGTCATTTCAAACATGGCTGGTAAACATATGTATTTTAAACCTGTTCTTTATGATTCCCCAATTGTTTACTTTTTTTTTCCAATGAAAATCTTATTAATTAAATGACTCGGACAGTATATTTTATATGAATAATATTTCTGTCTGTGGGTTATAGTTTAAAGAACAGTGTGTATGCATGTTAGGGAGATCAGACAATATCACTGTCCAATTTTCACACTATATTAATACAATAGAGCAGTTCATGAGATAAAGACAACAAAAATACAATCTTCCTTAATTACCTGAAGTCTTGCAGGTCTTCTCTCATTGGTTAGTTGGTTGGCTCCTTCAGCTAAGATTTCTTCAAGAGATAGCATTTCTTTGCTACTACTAGATATAGGGTGAGATAGGAGTTTATGAAGTATTGTTCTCTGCCCATGGGCAGCTGCTACAGCTATGGCACTGTAGCAACCCCGCTGAGCAGCACCACCATAGCTCAACGAGTCCCGCAACATTGTGGAAAGAAAAGGATGGGCCCCATAGGATAGCAACACACTTACCAGCTCCAAATTTCCTGGAAAGTAATTGTATAGTAAATAGATTTAATCAAAGATTGTTATGAAAGTTCTCTACTGTTAAACAACATTTAAGCTATGAACCTTAGCTTAAGTTACTGAACACACACACACTGTCTGTCTACTTAAAATGTTATAATTTCTTTTCAGGCACATATTAAAATGTTATCTGCAAATTTAGAAAAAGACATTAGCGTACAAAAGTTAAAATCAATCTCTCACTTTATTTCCAAAGCCCTTATAAGATTAGAGTGAGTAGAATTTTCTTTAATCTTATGCCACTCAGAATACACACAATGAATTGCTACTTGCATTCTCCAACAGCCTACTTGTTCAGTCAAAACAGGTTTCAGCATTTTTTTTTTTTATGTTCAATGTAAATATGCTTGTTTGCATTTCACTATTACTAAGACGAATTCATAGATTATCAAGACAGTATCTTAACAAAGATCAGTACTTAACCACCACACTTTATATGAATAAGCATACATATCAAATGACTTGGAAATCTAAATAATCATATTTAAACCTGAAGCTGTACTATAACCTACCATGCAATATCTAAAAGTCACCTTGAATTTAATACTACTTCATATGAATTCAAAGTTGCTTCTATCTAAATATAGAGGCCCAAATAAACATGCTAGAGGAACTTAGCACAGACTCTCTCTTCCTTCTGTTATGGAGTTCCATCAGAGCACATTTTTCAGTGTGCAGTTCTAGTTAAATTGACAACTTTCCTATTTCCAAACTATAGGTTACAGGGAGGCAACTGACTGTTAATTTTTACTGTATTATTAATATCATTGAATATAATTTTTTATTTTTACCTTAATACACATATTTCTTTGTTTTGCTTTTTAAACACCAGTACACAATGTAAATAAGATGATTATAATACTATTACTTCTACTACTGTTATATGCTTGAGGGTTTTGGAACTACCTTGACAGAAGCTTTCCTCCATCCAGTAATCTGTTGAACATTATTCTAATAGTAATACCCAATTCCATTTGTTTTAAAGATCATCTGTCCTTTCCACATATTTTTACACTCACTGCACTTCCACCCTCTTTCCGCTATTTCATCCTTCCTTCAGTCTATAATCTATATGCTATTTCACTATTGACATCATTTGGAGATATTATCAGATTACTCAAAAGTGACATATCACCAGCTAGGTGCTCTGCTTTCTCATTGAATGATATGCTGCTGTGGCCTGGAATATAAGTCATCGGATACTCCTTCACATTCCTCAAAGGTTATACCCATGTTCTTTGAATAAAACTTACTTCCGAACTTGGGATGAGGTTTAGGGAAACTATCATGAGGATGATACTATCATAGTATTCACTGTTACTGGTCAACCAGGCAAGTGCACATATACTGCACATTCTGCTCTGAATGAACTGGACTGTCCAATTTTTGCCACTCACTATTCAAATACTACATTTGACTTCTGCTCATGCAGTCATGTCATTCCTGTCTGAACCATCCATTGCTATGATCAATGTTGGTCTCAGCTAATATATACACTCCTTGACTTTAAATGTGTTGACCAGCCCTGACTTTTTCCTTCCCTTCACATCTGGACATACTTAATACCCTTGATGTTTCCTAGTGGACTCACAAACCCATGACCTGACCTGTTTCAGACTATGTATTACTGCTTCATTTGCCTTCTCTCTCTCTCTCTCAAATACTGATACAGTGGGTGAACCATGGTTGTGAAAGTAGTTACTGTAAAGATGTCAAAGTTACATAATCTCTGAAAAGAACCTAAAATCTACTAAAAAGAAGTTTAAGTGAGGGTATTTTCTGCAAAGATTAACTTTTTATTAAAATCTTGAAGTTTCAACAAACTGTAAAAATGTATAGATGGATTCTTTTTAACCTTATGATGCAGTAACCCGCACAAGATTGACATATGTCTTTAAATGATAGCAAAGATTAACATTTTTATACTAACCTGAAGCTGCAGCTAACTGTAAGGGTGTTTGGGTGATCTTATCCTCACTTAATCTTGCTCCACCCTCAACACTTGCCCCCTTTTCCAAAAGAAGCTATAAAAATACATATTTTAACAAACAATAACATTTACTTAATGAGTATAAAGATGGAAACTGACAGATAAAGTCTGTAAAAGTGCAACATAGATATGACTATCATTATAATTGTATGATCTTATATGGAAGCTAAGAAGATCAGACCACAACCAAAAAAGATTTGAGTGAGTGTTGGGAATAATAATGGACACTTGGAAACATATTTCATAACGATACACTGATAAATTTATGGTAGTATAAAAACAAGTTTTACTGGATTTTTTTTTAAGCAAATATAAAATACTAATGCTATAAGACTTGTTTGCTTTTCTTTTGTATTTTCTATAATAATGTACTATACTAATTGTAAGTAGACAAAAACTACAAATATAACATAAAAAGCAAATTAACCAACTCAGTTCAACATATAAATTGCTTCTTATTGATTATTTATTTGCAATTACATATTGATTGTGTTAAAATTAGTACTAGTGCTTTCTTGATCAAAGAAATAGCTAAGTACAATAACATATTGTATGTATCTATTACATTTAGTGGTTACTATGAAACACATTATTATTATTATTACCACTACTATCCATTAGCAAACAAGTTATACTTGTGAATCAAAAACATAAAGTAAAAATACAAATGAAAAAACTGTATCAATTCAAATGAAGTTGATCATTTTCTAAAATCTTCAAGCCTACAAATTAACCACGTAGTGATATTTTTCTGATTGAATTAAAACTATAACGCTGATGTTGATAAATAACCTGTTTCAAACGTTATCTTACTTTAGTGATGGAAAGATGGCCATGGGTTGTAGCATAGGTCAATGCTGTCCAGTGTTGAGTTTCAGGGTTTAAGTTTTGATAATGCCCATTACACAGAGGTGTCTATAGAAAATAAAGAACAAATTTTTATTATTCCAATCATTCTGTTTTATTTTTGAACTTGAAACACATGAGTCCTGCAGAAACTTTTCAAAATGAAGCTTTTGTCTCCTAAGTTAAAATGATAATATTTCAAATTGAAACCAAACTTACAGAATCTATAGTATACTTAAACAAACAACCCTGTTAGAAAATAGGTCCTAACTAATTTTCTTTCATTATTCATGACACAATATAAATCTTGATTAGTTTTTTTTTAACTTGTGCTGTACAAATAGTGCTTGTTTCCCTCACTATGTCACATCATCCATTAAACAAGAAAATATTAGCTAAAATTTATGAAAACTCTGGGATACAAATACAGTTTTGTTTGCTGATTATATTTATAAAATATTTATGAAACAAATCATATATTGGTTCTAAATGAAAATAAAAAAACATACTATATTAGAATTCAAAGATTTTAAAAGTAACTGTTTATTTGGAAGGTGAAAACTGTGTATCATATGTTCACATAAAACAAAACTACCTTAACATCCTACTTTACTTTAACATCTCGATACCTATGTTTCTTTTAACATTATACCACCACAAAGCAACCATTGCAATGGTTACTTATACTATACTATCTCTGAGATAAAGTTACTTCATTATCTATATGTTTCAAGGAGTACATATGCTATTTTGATTTTACAATATTTTGGTATATCACCATCTCTGGCAATGTTACCTTCATTAAGTTTAATAACCTAACAGTTGGCTATTGGCATATATTATATATTACTACTATATACTGCAAAAACATCTATATGACACAGATGTATAAAATTAAAGAGGTCAACATTCATGGGCAAATGCAACATGTTTCTGCCACATAATCCTAACCTGGCCGATTCTGACACCTAAAAAACCATTAAAAAAAACAGAGAAAACCAAAACTGTCTATACCACTGCTTGGGACCTGTAAGAAGGTATCTTTGTACCAAATTGCACGCAAATTGGTCAAAATATATCCAAGAAATGGACTGAAACCTCTAAAATTATTCTTTTGTGACCTTTTGACCTCCATAAAATGACCAAAAATGGACATATCCGATATTCTTTTTATGTATATCTATGGGACCTGTAGAAAAGTATCTTTGTACCAGATCCCATGTAAACTGGCCAAAATATGGCCACATAATTAACATAAAAAACCATAAAATTATGCATTTTTGTGAGCTCCAACATCTCCAAAAATCCAACTTTTTTTGTATATCAATGTGTTGGGCACGTGAAAATGTATATTTATGCCAATGTTCATCGTTATTGCTGTAAGTATGACTGCACAGGAGCCCAAAATATACATTTTGGGGTTGTTTGACCTTTCACCCCATAAAATACTTAAAAAGGACTAAATTAAAAAAAGAGTCTGGGGGTATTCAAGTCAATCCGCCAAGAAATGAAGATCGATTGAAAAGTGTTTGGAAGAAGAAGAAATAGAAAAACAGCACGTCTCTCTGTTGAGACATAATAAAGTTTAAACTTAAAGATATTATTGACGAAACATTTGACAGTAAATATCATTATTACTTTTAACACTTGAAAGTGTGGTATTTCATTATTCTTTCTAGTCCTTGTCCTGTGCGAAAGTACTAGGAAAGCCTTTCCTACCCCAACAGCCTGTGAATAAATATTTGTTTTACTTGAGTTTAAATGTTTGTATTCGAAGCTAAATTCATGCAAGTGAAAGGAATTCAACATTTAGTTGTACAGTAGATAAAAGTTTTTCTTGGGATATTTGTTATGTTTTTGTATATTCATCCCTACCTTGTTTCTAGATTTTTTGGCATTGCCATTCCTACATCATCTTTATTTTTTTCTACTTGTTTCCCCTCTCTTTTCTTTAAACAATACTAATGAATATTTTATAATGAATGGCTGTGAAGGCAGCAGTTTTAACCTGGTGTCATGATTCGTCTTGATAAACATCATGTTTTGAAACGCTATATTGCTTCTGCACTCCCCAAGTTAAAACGTATCATTTCTGTATGTAAATCTTTGCAACGACTTCAAAGTATTGGTGAGCTAGCCCTTCTGACGCCACAATCAGAATAATCAGCAGAACATTTGGCTGTTACATTACTCGCCGGTTCTCTAGTTTAGGAACATTTGGCTGTTACGTTACTCACCGGTTCTCTAGTTTAGCGATGTTTTTAGGCTAAACTAAAGATCTTTATAGCTTTTGAAACCTCGAAAACCTATGTTAGGTGTTTATAATAGTCCCTTAAATTGTTATAAGAGACTTGAGACTACGATGAGCAATACATAATATTCTTCGGCCATTTTTTCCTAGTCCATCCCTACATACTAAGCATTACAATGCTTAATGATAAACAGTTTTTCAAAATTTTAGTACATACTTCTGTACTTAGTAACACGTTCCGGACAAAGAGAATGTGACCAACCTTAAACTCTGTTAGTCTTGCACATTGAGATGTCACATACAATAAGAAGTTTGACCTAAGCCTCGTAAGTTTTCACACCTAGACAATCTGGTAGCTAATTCATAAGTTAATCTTCATGAGTATTTGTGGAAAGAGAGAAGTTTGGGAGACTGGTCTCTCTCTCTCTCTTTCTTCAATTAACGGTGATTACCCAATGACGTAAGTGACGTGACATTCTGAAAGTTCTAATGAAGCTTAGGATCGCAGTAAGATTCTAAACAAAGTTAACTTTTGATCAGAATCACAGTGGTATTTAGTAAGATTGTCTAATTTTCGTCCAGCAGTCAATATAGACAGCCAACTTTCAAAAGATAAAGAATGTGGTTAACGGTGTTTACAGACTCCACAGATTACACCTGTTATGGTAGTCTAGAAAGGCGTTTTTGTTTCTTTTGAAACCTTTACGTCCAGTTTCATTTATTTCTTTTTGAGTCAAACTTATTTACACTTCACATTTCAACCTTCGAATCTCTTGTTTGCAGCTTTAATAATTTACCAGTTGAACCCAGTTAATCTTTACAGTGAAAACACTTTAACGTCTACATCATTTATATCACCATACAGTTAATGTTTACATTTCTATAGCCATACAATTAAACTGAATTTACCTCTGTGTCTATGTTTTAACAAAATACAGTCACACACAAATTACCTCAATGTTAACATCTACTTTAAAAATACACAATAACGAAAGCTACGTCAATGTCAACAATATATGCTTTAAAAATATGCAGTTACACAAAACTACCTCAATGTCAATGTCTGCTTTAAAACACAATAACACAAAACTACCTCAATGTCAACATCTGCTCCTGCATCCAGAAGAATCTGGACCATAGCTTCATCTCCACGGATACAGGCCAACATCAAGGGGGTAAGACCTTGTTCGTTTATTGTATTGATCCTGGTAGGGGGCAGCAGCTGCAAGGCGTGAGGCATCAGGTCCGTGCGACCACTGGTGAGCATACGGAAAGCTAAATCTATTCTCAAGAGACGTGCACACTCTGATTCGTCCATCTGCCTCCTGGCGTAGAGCTTTTCGTCATAGCTCCTAAAAACAAGATACTATAAAAGTTAGTTTTAATACTCATGAACCTCCTGGTGAGTCAGCAGTAAATTTATGGACTTGCAACGTTAAAATCCGGGTTTCGATTCCCCGCAGTGGACAGAGAGCAAATACCTCTTTGTGTAGCTTTGCGCTAGAACAACACCAAAAACAACAAATATTCATAAAGAAGTGATAATTTATAGTATGCAATAAAACATGAAAATAATTTAATGATGACACCAAATATTTAATATTTTTTATGGCTTGTATTAAGTTAAGTCTAGAACTATTGTTGGACAGAGTGTAATATAATAATCAGTTTTTGTTTGGATTAATACACACACAAACACATATCTAATCTCAAATACTTAATATTACAGAAGACATCAAATATATTTTTACTAAATATAGAATTTACTTATCATATCATAAATACAATAAAAGTTAATCAAACCCTATCAATAACCAGTTACTGATGTAGGAATATTTACTCAAAACACCAAACGTTAATGCACTCATGCCAATGTACAACACCCACCCAAAGTGCCTGATAGGACAATCAACTCCTGGTAAGAGAAGCCGGGCAGCCTGTACAACATCGTCGCTATCCACAACCTGACTACGACGATATTCGGCATGCGCTGTTGCCACTTTGACCCACTCAATCAAAGGAGGTAGCACAAGATATGGTCTACAAAGATAAAACAAATTGAAGTTTTGAATATTTAAACCTATACTGGTCACAAGTATTGGTATTTATTAGTGTTAAAATTACTTTAAAAGCTATTTTTATTCTCTTTAAATTCTCTGAATGAATGCTATAACTACAATACCTCATACATTTTAACGAGCTGAATAAAGCTGGCATCGCAATAATGAGTGTGAATATGTTTAAATGCTGAAATCTAAAGCAAACTAAGCCTACTTTATGTTCTCTAATATACTGTGTCAAACTTTGTTGCCTTCCAGTGATACAGCTGTAAGTCTGCGGACTTGTAACGCTAAAAACTTAGTTTCGCTACCCGTGGTAGGCACAGCACAGATAATACGTTGTGTTTAACTGCAAATAAACCTTGTTATTCATCGTCAGTATTTCACCCTCTCACAACCACTTTTTACATCATACAAACAAAAAGTTGAAAACATCTGCTTTCATTCTTTTACATACTATTTTTTACTTGATAATTTGTCCAGTTAGCCGAGAACACACAACTATATTAACTTTCTTGATCAGCAAGTTATTTTTTATTCAAATGCCTTCTCTTAGAAAAACCCTCTTAAGATTTCCTATAGGCCCACTACACCTGTTTTTCTTTCTACAACTGTTGTGTAGTAGTGTCAATCTATTATATAAACTGTTTCTTGTGGTAACTTTAAAAGATAGTGTTATTCCGCTAACATGTTAGTTAATTACTCTTAGTAATTATGTAAAACAAGTTTACCCACACAGTTCATTGTTGTAATGTATTTGACACACGTGAACATTGGTTAAGCTACGATCATGCCTGCCTACCAAAGGATGCTGTGCGATAGTCTACTAAAAAAATCTGTGCTAGCATATCAGACAGTTCTGTGCTACTTTACTAAAGAATGCTGTGAATAATAATAAGAAAAGGGATCAATTCAAAGAATATAAGGTTGTTATAAGTATATTCTAATAATACCCACTTTTTATCTGTCCTGAAGATGCACGCGTATCTCACAATCTAAATACGCATGTGCGCGCACTTATTTCAACGTATGTAAATATATTTTACCAGACATTATTCACAACAACGTATTAATAGCTTATCAAATAGGTCTAACAATTGGTCGTAGAATAACATTATAAGATTATTTATTGATACTATTAAATACGGTAAAGTTTAGCATTAATTAAACTGAAACAAAAAGTACACAAATTACAGTGTTAATTTATCTCTTTATCCGATATAACCTGTACTTAATAAAGGCCTAACTACTGTTTGGCCTAAGATAAATGGACTTACAGCTTTCGGTGTCTGCGATAAAAAATCTTTTCTATCATTCTAGAAATTCTGTACTTAAAGAAGTACTGTTGAAATAAAGACATTAATTTAACAGCAAATGTTTTATAGGTCTCTGCTAGTCCATATTGAATAAACATAATATAAAATAATTAATATAATCTTGCTGAATTAGACTTCTAGAGCTCTGAGCTTAGTCACCATTACGAAAAAATAATGATTAAGCTTCTGTTTCATACAGCAGCCTTGTAGGAAAACGTGTGGACCTAAATTATAAATATAAGACATGAACTGTTTTGGGGGAGTTGTATATACTCTTAAATAAATAATCAGGCTAAATCAATATCTGAAACTAGTGAAGAGGAGACGAAATGTGTTTTGGAAAGCTGTGGATTCTGTTAAATAAATAACAAGGCTGAATCAATACCTTAAACTGGGGAAAAGATGGAGCCGAAAAGTGTTTTTTAGGACTTGTGGATACTGTTAAATAAATAACCAGGCTAAATCAGTGCCTAAAACTGGTAGAAGAGGGTGACAAAATGTGTTTTGGAGAATTGTGGATACTGTTCAATAAACAACCAGGTTAAATCAATACCAAAAAGTAAAGAAGCTTCAACAAATTGTTTTAATTAAATGTGGAGCTTACAAACCGTCGTGACTCATTTCTCACTACGTCTGTGAGCTACGAGTCAATCCCAAAAAGAGTTCGGTTGGAAGTCCACAAGGTAGTACCGAAAATTTTTGATTGCACTAAGCCTCAAATCTAGGTAGTAGTCATACGTAATACAAAAACCAATAGGTAAACAATTTCAACAAGACGTTTACTTTTTATATTTGTATCCACACCTTTCATAGACTAGTTCCTGGACAGCAGTTTTGGAACAGGAATGTTCCAACTGAGAACAGCGCATGTAGTAGTACAGATTATGGAGTGCACCTGGGCCCCAGGCTACGCTCTGCTTGCTAGCTGCAACTCCTGTCATTCTGGCCTGGTACTGCACAACCCGACCCAAGAGATCTCCTACGAATAAAAATATGCATACAGTTGTGTGAACAAATTCTGTACACTTAACACACATACGTAAACACTAAATAGTATAATGTTTTCAGACATACTTTACATTTCTTAGTAATATAAAAAGTTGTAGACGTTTTGGCAACATGGTTGTATTTTTGTATAGTGAAAAACATTCTTCAATTCTATGGAGCTCTAATGATATTAGGCATTCTAATTACGACAGCAAGACAAAATCGAATACTACACAGCATAAGATGATGCATCTTTAGAAAATATTTCTGCACTTATGTTGACCAGCAAATGACACTAAGTTACATGAAAGCAAAATAATAAATCTTTGGAACGTAGATCAAAAGATCTACTTCGTTCCACAGCAGTGAACCAGAATGTGTTCTCATAAGTTACGAAATGTGTCATGTTGAAATTATGCAAGTTTCCACTACGAACCCTTGGTATATTGCAACTTTTTGATTCACTTCTGCTGGACTCTGTCAGGTCGAATTACAACGCAGACAAAAAACTGTACAGATATCATTAATTTTTTTAAAACTCCCAAAACTAAGTTAGCTTCAAAATGAAAATACAACTTCCACTCTGAATAACCAAGCGTTAGTGTATTATTTGGGATTAATAAATTCCATGGCCTAGGTTTACGTTTAATACTATTTTAAATTGAAAAATTGCCAAAATTGTTTTCCCTTAAGTGTCTTTGACCTAAACTGACACGAAAGCAAGATGATATGAACTATTTGTAGCATAGTCTCAACTACACTCAAATGCTAATTTATAACGACATACTTGATTATCTGCTCCCTTACACTTAAAAACAAAATACGAGTTATTATATTTTCATGTGAACAAAAAAGCGAGTGATTAATAAAAAAATCAACACAACAGGTCATAGAATTTCATATAACACATTGGGCACTTTCTACGTCTGTTAGATCCTCTTAGCCAGATAGTTTGTGAGTTAGTCATTTTATGCACACACCTTAGAAAGTACTTTTAAGTACGGTAGTCCGTGGGATCGACAAGGATTCCAAATAATTCACGCGCCAGAAAACCACCCTATCGAATTTTAAAGCGAAAAACCTACCATCCAAAGTATTGGTTACGATATATTATGCGCATATATATACTAATAGCAATTCAAAATTTTCTAAAACTGCAACTTTTTAGTCTACTACCTACGTGCCTGATCACGTCAGCGGGGATAGCGCCTGGATGGCTCGGACTATCGCTACAATATTTCATCACTTTTAGGTATCCACTTTTGACATTCCAATGAAAATATATATATATATATATATATATACAGGTATAATATAAATGGTAAGCATATCATACATAGACTTAAATATCTTTTCATCCCAGTTCAACCCAATGGATGGCGCTACATATCGATGGATAGACAAGCGACAGTTTCTAAAGATAAAGTATATACTTTATACAGGTATAACATAAAAAGTAAACAAGCTATAGTATTAAAAATTGTGAATTTTAAAATGAAGTGGGGATCCTGCTCTAAAAAGTAATGAAACAAGACTGTTAAAAATTATGAATTTTAAAATTAAGTAGAGATCCTGCTATAAAAAGTCATGAAATAAGAGTGTTGAAAAATTATGAATTTTAAAATAAAGTAGGGATCCTGCTATAAAAAATTAATGAGACAAGAATTAAAACCACAATCACAAATTTATAAAATTTAATCCTTACTTTGGCCTACAAATAAGTGTTTAAAACTGCTAAAGTAGGGATTAAATTTTGTAAATTTGTAATTATGGTTTAAAATCTTGTTTCTTTACTTGTTATAGTAGGATCCCTATTTCATTTTGAAATTCATAATGTGCTTCACTGTACCTAGTTCAGAAATACTTCCAACACACGTCGTCAGAAGACTATGTTCTGTTGATTTTGAGGAGGGCCTGGGTTGCTCTTCAGGTTGATGAAGTTGAGATGAACTGTTGGACCTACTACCATTTTCAAACTGCCCTGGCCATCTTGGAAGTGAGAGAGCTCCTAAGAAATACATAAGTCCTCTATAAAGAACAGCCACAGACGGTTCATGTTAGGCTAAAGAGAACTAGGAATTAATCGTCTTATTTCAATTATTTCTCAAGGAACTGGATTGTTTTGGTTATCGAAAACATACTAATAAATGGCTTTGCAACTTGATAATCATCTGAAGTATTATGAAGATCTCAATAATGACATGAATGAATGAAAAAAAACCTTAAGTGGAATACTGGATGACCTAACTGTTACACACAGTGTAATGTACAAACCCTGAGTTAACTTTCTTACACTTAGCGTCGAACCAGTAAAATACGACAGTAGTTTTCTATTGAAAGCTGTTTGACACATTTGAAACTCGCTGGTTCAGTGGATTATTAAATGGAATTTCATTTGCATTTTTAAACTTTCAAAGCTTTTAGTAAATTCGTTAACTGTTATTGTTTCAGGGTTTTATGACTCAAAAAATAATCAAGTGAAATTATCTAAAGGGAAATTTTAAGTGTATATATAAAAGGACAAATAAGAATATTGAATACAGTTAAAAATGCCTATGGCCCGGCAAAAATTAAAGTATCTAGTTGGTCAGTGTCGCCGTTTTCAGTAGCACTGCTCAATGTCAAGGGGACACCACAAGCTAAATTGTGTCTAAAAGTAGAATGTAAGCAATGGTGACTTGAGTGTCACACTTCTCACACTTCGGCATGTCACCCCCTTACAGGAGAAAATGGTGAGTCAAAGGACTTTGGCCAATGTGGAGCCTTGTCGTGACAACTTCCTCCATCCGCTACAGCTCAAACTAGATGGTTAATCATTAATGGTAACTTTCACCTGGAAAAGCTTGTTGTACCATTTCTCACCCCAAGTTCTTTACCAAGTGACAAGAAACCTTGCTCTGGTGGCAAGGTTTCAACTCCGCATATGGTATAGGCAAAGGTTCAGTATTATTAGTGTAGGTAGATTTGGCTGCAGTGTCAGCAAGCTCATTCCTAAAGATACAAAAAACTAAGTGAATCGGTATAGACGGTATAGTTGGTGTACCACTCAGCTTCTATGAAACTAGATCAAATGAGACTGCATATAACTCTACAGTGAACATAGACTCTCTAGAGTATATCCTGTGAGCAACAACAGAATTGCAGCAAATAACAATAAAGCCCACAGTCACATGATTTTGAGCCACCTGTAAAAACCAGTACAGAAGAATGACTCAGGTGATAGACCAATCAATGGGTTCTGCAATGTTATATATACTGGCGAAAAAGCAAAGTTCCCCCACCCCATGGCATGAAAACATAGTACCAGGTGGGAAGCTGTAGCAGTAATTTGAACTTAGAAGCATATTGCAAAGAGAGCTGCAACTACTGAATGTGAAATTTCATAAGTCTTCGTGCAAGAACTCTAAACTGGTGAAATCTGGAGTCATAGCTCCTGATGATGCACAGAGTCTAATGTCTTCAATGCAGAATTTCTATCCAAGGTGTAGACCAGAAATCCATATCCCTGCTTCAGTCACATAAGGGCACGATAGATTTCAAGCATAAAGCATCTATCCACTTCACGAAATTTGGGCGATATAGCACAAATAATTTCCTTGTCTTTGTACACTTTATTTTGATATTATTGTCAAAGAGAAATCCTAGTAAATTAGTCTTGGTTATCAGAAGAATCTGTTTACCTCTCATGTAAGAACTTTGGAATATGGTACAATCTGCATTGATGACAGAAACAAACGCTAACCGGACTTTTCTTATGATTAAATATAAAATTGTTTACAGTGGTCCATTATTGTAGTTTATCGAGGGCAGTTTGAACTGCTGCCGGACATAACTTATCTTCGATAACTAACAAGACATCTGAAATTCTTAAAAATAAATTGCTGCTTACAATTGTTGAGGGGAAGATCAGAATAGTATTGATCTCATTCAGACTTAAAATAATATAACTACTAAAATGTTTCAAATACAAATGGTACGGCTTCCACTTGAAAACAACACTTTACAAGTACTGGTTTCAACGTCATCTTCAGGAGTTACAAGACCCTTACAAACCATACTTTACTTTTACCCCCTTTTCGCATTGCTTTACTATTATTTACATATTTCCTTGGTCTACTTTTTTTAATATAATTATTATATCTCCCCATATATCAACATATTGACTTGCGGGCCCTTCGTCTCTATTTAATACTTTATTATTTCTAATGTTTCTCTAATATTTAATGCTCTAATACTACGAGGTTGAGACAAAATTAAACTTTTTTCACTTAATATTGTATGTTGTTAGTTTTTACATATTCGGCTATAACTGAGTTTTCTATTTTATTATTTCTTATATAACCTTTATTTTCTTGCAATCTGTATTTTAAATTTCTTCTAGTTTGACCAATATAAATACCACCACGTTCACATTCTATCTTGTAAATACCCGTTTTATCTGTTAATTCTATCTTGTCTATCATGTCTTTTATCTTATATAATTGACTTGTTATACCTGTAACATAAGGTAAACTTAAAGTTTCTTTTTTGTTTTTTTCATAAACAGATCTTAATGTGGTATTTGTAACTGTGTTTACACCTCTGTTAAATTTCTCAAGTGCTTTGTCTACTATATTTGGTTCAAATCCCCTATCAATAACTATAGTTTTTTTCATAAACAGATCTTAATGTGGTATTTGTAACTGTGTTTACACCTCTGTTAAATTTCTCAAGTGCTTTGTCTACTATGTTTGGTTCAAATCCCCTATCAATAGCTATATGTTTAATTAATAACAATTCGTTATTTACATATTCCTGAACATATCTTTAAAGCTGTATAAACATACGTGTTAAATGCAGAGATTTTTTGTGTTTTTATATGACATGATGCCTTGTCTGGAGGCATAACAACATGAAATGGTTTTCTATAAACTGGTGTTTCAAAGTTACCTTCCGTTTCTCTTGTAAATAGTAAGTCTGAAATTTTAGTGCTATTATTTTCTTCAATTTCATGCGTAAATTGAATGGATGGTTCTTTACTATTTAAATAACTAGAAAATTCTTGTAGTTTACGGTTGCCATGTCACCACACTAAGAAAGTGTCATCTACATATCTTATACAAACTTCTGGTTTAAATTTAGCATTATTTAACGCTTCATTTTAAAAACTATCCATGTAAAGGTCACATAACAACGGTGACAAGGGGGATCCCATAGATAAACCCTCTTTGTGTTTATAGTCATTTTGGTTAACTTGTAAAAAATGGAATTTCTACACATACTCGTGTTAATTTCAATATGTACATAATTTTAACTGCTGGTATTCTGTTTTCTATTAATTTATTCTCAAAACATCTAATCGCGTCATCTAGTGGTGTTTTAGTAAACAACGATATTACATCAAATGATATAAGTAGATCTTCCTTTTCTAATTTTATGTTTTTGATCTTCTCTACAAATTATATAGAATTTTTGACTTTATATTTGTTCTTATCTCTCAAAAAAGAATACTTTCGTGTTATAAACTTTGCTATTTCACAAGATGATGTACCTATACTTGATACTATGGGTCTAGATGATGTACCTATACTTGATACTATGGGTCTAAAACTGTTATTGTTTTTATGTATTTTTGGTACTACATAAAACCTTGAGGAGTTAGAATTAGACTATTTTTAACACTAGTCTTTAGTTTTTCATGATATTTGGTTATTATTAAGCTTTTTTTATATATACTTTCTTTCAACATGTCTTCTTCTCCCTTATCACTTTTGTTAAGTATTACGGTTTGTCCCCCTTTATCTGTTTATTTAATACTCGCCAAGAAAGCAAAGAAAAGAAAGAATGAATATACAAATCAGAAATCAAGATACAGGAACGTAAAGAGATGGTAATACAGTAACTGAGTGATCTGTACATAATTTATTTTATTAATTTTTTTCTTAAAAAAGCCACGGGTGCCAGCCTACTGCTATTCTTCTCTTAGTGCAAAGCTAGACAATGTTGCAAATACGTGGGTGAATGTTTGGATCTCGGAGAAAGGATGCTGTAAAAGCAGACCCTTCAACAAAATGCTCCCTCACCACCAACAGGGACCCATGTTAGACAGAAAACTCATTAATATACACTATATTATAAGTATTCTTCCTAGCAAATATTCGAAAATATATTATTGCATAATATTTTCCGCAATTCTGCACAGGGGGTTAAAACAGAATCTAGTGCTACAACTGATTTTTCTAATTTCATTATTAATATTTAAGTATAAGAAACTTCGATATTTAACAACTTTCTCAGGTTTTTTAACAAGTCCGTAATGCCTCACTTGTGATACAAAACATAAATAACAGTTTCTTTTAAGAATCCTGAATAGACAAAAAAGGGGGTGCTGTCTCTTCCCTGTCACAAGCAGACTTAAAATGAAAACTAATCTACATAAAAGCCAGCGTGTCTCACGTCACGCTTGATTTCTCGAAATAGGAGGAGTCATAAAAGCCAAAATGCGTTTATCCAGATAGAATAGTTCGATTACTGTCTGCCTATTACGATTTTAGTGACGGGGGTGCAAGGGGCCCGTGAGGGTGAGTGCGTGCCGTGAAACCTTAGAAGTGTAGTGAGTGTTGGTATAATAAGCCTAAAGTAAAGACGTAGTGTGGGATCACCTAGCCTAGAGTCAAGTATATAATATTTATCAAGAAAATAAAATAT